TTTTACCGCATTGAAAGAATGAAATATGAAGCTTTTTAAGAGCACGTGTAGGAGAATTTTAAAAACTGATAATCGTAAACGCATTTTCTATATTGAGTTTGAGAAGGTTACGAAATTTTTCGAAATCATTGCATGCTACAGCCAGATTTATTCAATTAAAAAAGGAAACACTAGGACGCAGAATAGACATTTCTGTTCGGGACACCCTGATTAGATAATCTCCGATTTTAAACAGATCCTGCGATAAAGTTTGGGATAATCCTTAAAAATCCCAAATTAAAACTTCCTTCAAAGCCTGTATAATTAAAAGAAATTCAGTTATAATAATTGCTCTTGAAGTTTCATCGCAGTCTACGGGGAGTTTCACATTACATTTCAATTTATATTCAAACAAAGTCTTAGGGGGCCAGTAATTTGAACTGTGTGACGTCATTTTAATTTGATCGCCTGTTTTGGCTGCGGTTTTGGCCTGCATTGCCTGAGTTTTATTTTTGATCAAATATCATTAAGAAGGCATAAAAAAGGATCTTATTTGCTTTGGTCGGCATTAACTGAAGGTTAAGCAATATTTTGCGTGACTGAGACGTTGAGCAAATTTCCTACGTTGCTTTTTGTTTGACGCGGTTAGCAACTGGTGAAAAGGTACAGTGATTCTGGATAAAAACACCGTGTTTTTCTGCCTAGGAATTTTGAAGTCAACAGTTACTTTTGCCGAAATAAAATAAGGCGGCACTGTCTAAGAACATTGAGTCAAAACCTTTGACTATTGCCTTTAACATTGAGTCAAAATCTGCATGTTTTAGAAATAGTATCGTGAAGAACGGTTTCATATATTAATTTGAACTTAATGCATCGACGTTAAACGAATACGAAGTATCTAATCAGGTATATGGGATTTAAATTAGTGTGACAGAAAAAATATCTCTGGGAAAAATGAATTGATTTCTTAAACAAAAATATCCCAAGACAACAAACGCAAAAGAGTCAAATAGCAGACATCTTAAGTGTCCGTTGTAGGGAGGTTCCCGTTGTAGGAAGAAGACCGATGTAGGGAGGTGCCCGATCTGGGGAAGTGTACGTTGTATAGAGGTGTCCGTTGTGGGGAGGTGTTTGTTTTAAAGTAGTGTCCATTGTAGGGAAGTGCCTGTTGTGAGGAGGTGTCCGTTGTAGGGACGTGTGTCCGTTGTAGGGAGTTGTCCATTCTAGATAAGGCTCCGTTGTAGGGAGGTATTCGCTTTAGAGAGGTGTCCATTGAACGGCGTATCCGTTGTAGGGAAGTGTCCGATGTAGGGAGGCGTCCACTATATGAAGGTGTCCGTTGTGGGGAGGCGTCAATTTTAGGGACGTGTGCCCGTTGTAGAGAGGTGTCTGCTGTAGGGAAGTGACCGTTATTTTATTGCCTCTTAGGACGTGACCGTTATTAGGAAATGTTTATGTTTTGAAACGGTCAGTTACGATTGGGATCCACTGTGGTACCCACAGCCAGGCCGAAGTTTTCAGTTTTGGACTTAAAGTTAGATTGCACGGAATATTGTCTGGCCTAATAATTAAATCTGGACTTTTAAGAAAAAAATGGTGCACATTCGCATCATATTAAAATTTAAAGGCAATCTGTCTCGTTGTGGATTTGTTATTGAGAACAATAGCTGGAACAATAGCCTAAACACGATTCCAGCGCTCCGCCATATTTTTTACAATGCGATAAATTAAAGGGGGACTGGAAACAATAAAAAACCCCTTTGTTCTTATAATCAATCAACGTCGTGACAGATTGCCTTTAAAAATCCTAGGCAAAAAACAAACTTTTAATCTAAAGCGCATTACTTCCCTTTGTGGATTCAAATGCCAAATATAACCAGCTAATCTAAAATGAATATTGGATTTTTTGAAGGGGAAAGTTTATTAGTTTTTTTGGTTTGGGTTTGAAAAATTATTCTAATAAAGCATGCATAGAAATACACGCTTTCACAGTGTATTTTTTGGGGTTCTTAAATTGGCATTTTCATGCGCATTTTTGCCTGCGTTTGTCATCTGTGTCTATCTGAATCTATCTGGCAACCATGCTCTTAGCCACAAGGACAAGGTAGTCTTAATTACTAAACATGCCTGCAAGACATGACTGAGGGGTAAACATTGCCACTTGCACCATATCAAAAAGCTTTTGCTTTACAGACAACGTTAACTGGATAAAGTGGTAGTCACAATGAGTAATCGTGCGGCATTACTTGAAATATTTTGATAAAATGAGACGATTTTCTTTGCACCTTTACGAAACACTGGTACTCAAGGAAGTATTGCACTTAAGGAGGAGCAGCAATAAACACTTTTCCCCTCCTATAACCCCTGTCTTTTCTAGCGGCACACTTCCATGGCTTTTATGATTGACCCCAGGGTAAAACATTTTGGACAAAGCTGTTTGTCTGTTGTTTGAAAGCGCATTTTATTGGGAAATGACTGTTTAAAGACATTCATTGTAATTTATTTTAAGCTATATTTTGACGTCATGGCTTATGAAATGAATTGTTCTACTTGGCCGCCATACATGTTGTAAATCCTTCTATACAACCCCGACAGCTTATTCGCACAAACTCAATTTTGAGAAAAGGCCATATTACAGGGCATTATTGATGGGGAAAGGGGATTATCATGACAGTGGAGGTGCTTCAATGATTTACGGTGAATGCAAGAGGTCATTGCCTGTTTTAAACCATTTCAAAAAGTTAACTAAAAATAGCAGATAAACTTAGATACGTTCAATCAGGAAGGTATCTTGGTGGATTGTAGCCGAACCGCTATAAGTAGGGGACAAAAATTGAGGCCACGCCCTTTTTACTGTAAGAAGGCACTCTCCTTCCAGCAGCGAACGCCAAGTTAATAAAAAAGGAACGTCCATTACTAGCTTTTGGTTACATGAAAACAGTTTCAAAAACTGAGAAATGAATCATAACAGATTACTTTGCAAAACACCACACCTGCCCAAACATATTCTTATCACACTTACAGCAAATACAGTTTTGTCGAGAACTGGGGGAATGTTCCCCTAGCCTGCTGTGGCGCCGCCATTGGTAGATTGCATTCACAGCCATGGTCGCAAAAAACACATTTAACTAATTTTCGTGTTGCAGCTCAGTGCAGTGTCATAGATGCAAAGCGACGATGAAAAGAAGTATCTATATTCTGTGCTAACATTCAGCAATTTACCGCTGATTTTAGAGGCAGCAATGTCGATAGGAAATGATTGACTTTGATATGTAAGAACAACGTCATAGACATTATTATCGCGATCATTGAGTTGTCATGGTTGGCTTATCAATCCTCTTAAAACCACATTGCAAAGGAAGAACTGAAGCAAAATTTGCATAGCGAAAGATCTGAGCAATGTTCAATTTGTTACTTCTAGTTATGACGTAAACATTGGTAAGCAAGGAGCTTTTCTAAAGCCTAGGGCAAAAAAGTTAGATAGGGACCGTGACGTTTTAGCTTGAAACTTTGTAATAACTTTTTGGGCCCCCTCGGCTCGGTGCCTGGGGCAATCAACTCCCTCCCCACAGCCCAGGGCACGAAAACCCACCCGACCATGTGACCGGGCGGTCGCAGGAAGTTTTTCATGAATAAAGCTCTGCAGGAAATTTTTTTAAAAATATACCTTTTTACAACTGGCACATTTGTTTCCTTCATGTTTATCAATTCATGGATGATTTTTGTCCGAGTAAGAACTTTTAACTTAAGAATTAAACGAGTAAGAATTGAGAACGAGTAAGTTTTGAATGAGTAAGAGTGGGTCGATAAGTGCAACCCACTGTTATTATTATATTCTGATGATGGTCCCAGTTTCAGCTTGATGTATCTTATTTTTTCGAATTTTTTTTTAATGGAATTTCCTGTGCATAGTAGTGTCCGGACATAAACTGTCCAAGTAATAAATGCTTTTTTGATTATCGCTTTCTGTTATTATTTCATTTTTCAATATTTGCTAGTATCATATTTCTTGAGTTTTGTCGAAATTCAGCCTGCCTTGTTTCTAATGTTGTTCTTATTTTTTTGGGCAAATCACAGCCTGATGTTCTTTATAAGTCCTGTTCTTTTTAAACAGCGTTTATAATGATGATGATGATGATTTTATTATGGTGGGAATTGCTTCTCGTCATAACAGAAAAACTAAAATGACGTCATGCAGCTAGTTCGTTCCACAACAACTAGATGAGGTCAAGGAAGGGGTACTACCGAGATGTCATGACTCCGAGGGGAAAACGCTACACAGATTAACGATTGTTTACGCATGATGAAAAATTCAATTATAATAATGTCTGGAAAGGTCAATTTCCAGCCTCCTTTTTGTGAAATTAAATTTCCAGTCTCCTTTTCAAAAATACTTCAAATTTTTTTCATTAAATTTTTGAATTCAGATTCGGGCTGAGGGCCGGAATTCTAGCCTAATACAGTTTTCATAATATTTAACGAATACATTCTCACGCAAGAGACTTAAAGCTCTGACATAAACTTATATTTCATTCACATAGATTCAAGTGTCCTGAAAATGTTTTCAACAACTACATAAATAGTTCATCACAGGAAATGTGTGAGCTCCAAATGAACTTAGAGACTGACGGCAATTGGGGAGCATTGTACGAGGATCGTCAACATAAGACCCCAGCCAATATCTTTAAATAAACATATAGCGTTCCAGGCAAATATGAGGAAATTTTGAAAGACTTCTTTATATAGGCACGAGCAAATAGGATTGCATCTGCTGAGTGGACCTAAGTATTGATTGATTGGCACACGTGCGATAAGAGTTCCAGCGAGCACTGATCTTGTATTCAAAACCGTGAAAGGAGGACCGAATAGAAATTAATACGTTCCAGATTACCGGTCCCATTTCAGTACCGGCCTGGTTCACCGAGGCTTTTAGAAGGTCAGAAAATAAAGCCACGGCAATTAATAAACTCCAACACTGTGGAGAATAGGACGCAGTGAATTAGAAGTATGAACAAACTCACCCATTCAATGCAGAAATACCACGAACCAGACAATCCCTCTCATCAAATCTTACAGAGCTTTGCATGAATTTGCCTTTAATCTCATCTACGTTTGTAGCACTCTGGTTTTGAATAAGCAGATAATTATTATTGAACTAACAGTTATATCCATTGATAAATATTACAATGCAAATGTGATTCAGGGATTAAACAGCAGCAAGGCTTCTTATTAAAATTGAAGGCAAACGTCTTCTCATTTTGCGACAGCCCTTTTGTCTCAACCGATGAAATCTAATATGAAAAAGCATGGAAAATGGGAATGATCATAAAACAGAAAGCAAATCTTACTGGATTTTTTGCCCTTCTTACATTTAATGAGCCAAAACTGACGAGTCACTCTTTTGCATAATAATAGCAAAATTTGTCAAAAAGCAGGAAAGCAAGCATTGTATTATATTAAATCATATTATATCATATTGTATTGTATTATACTATATTTTATTATATTATATTATATTATATTATATTATATTATATTATATTATATTATATTATATTATATTATATTATATTATATTATTATATTAATATTATATTATATTATATCATAATGATACTATATTATATTAAATTATATTATATATATTATATTATAATTATATATTATATTATATTATATTATATTATATTATATTATATTATATTATATTATATTAAATATTTATATATTATATTATATTATATATATTATATATATTATATTATATTATATTATATTATATTATATTATTATATTATATTATATCATATTATATTATATTATATCATATTATATTATATTATATCATATTTATTATGATGTATAATTTCAAAGAAGAAACATTCAGTTTTACATAATTATCATACAAAATCTCATACATTTTAAGATACATATTGCGTTTTAAATGCATAATCATAAACGGCTTCATTGCAAGGTCGAAAAAATTCATGGAAATTTCCATCCAAATAAAATAAAATGTTGATTTCAAGTTTGATCGATGGTAAATGCGTGAATGTGGTTTGGAGGGTAAATGGACTGTTTGAGTTGCCCTTGTAAGAAGCACAGCTGCGTGAAAACAACCTCAGCGAAAAGAACATGAAAACTCAACATGGTAGATACGAATCAACAACGGGTCAATTGGTCAAGCTCAAAAACGAGATCTCATCAAATGATTCACAAAAAGTCAAGAACGTGCGTTTGCCCATTGACTGGGTGCACGGCTACGGTCCAAAAAGCTGTTCGTTCAGTTGTATAAACTGTGAAAGTTGTATAAATTGCCGTAGAGTCTTCATACACAAAGCTGCAGTCTCAAAAATATGATAAACTTTGAAGGGACACTTCATTCACAAAACAACAGGTTTCAACTGATAGGCAACAGGCTCCTTGAAAACAAACACTAGCTAGTCTCAAAAAAGTGCTCAAGGTTGGAAAAATATATTACTTGTTCTAAGGCAGAGAAGGAATATAAAAGAAATATGAAATAAATGTTATTGTTAGGAATATAAAATAAATGAATAACATATCTGTTTCAGGTGTTAACAGGATGATAGACTTGAGGTTTTCAGTTTTCGAGAGCATGGTTTGGCAGATGCGAGCAAAAAAGCAAATGATGTTTAGCTGGCCTTTGAACCCCAAAGGATATTAATACCAAGTTTTTAGTTGCTACAACCCGAGCTGTACTCAGCTCCCCCTATATTCTAGAACAAAAGACAATTTACCCTGCAAGATAAAATATTTTTGTGAAGCTTTCAAGCATATTTTCAAACAAAACTACCCTTGACAAAATTCAACTTTCTTTAGCGTGGTGAAGCTTTAGCGAAGTGTTTGTCTTCTTCATGCATCCCTTCGTGCTCTTGCTAACATATGAATGAGGGCCTAATAAATTAACAACAGAGGCATGTATGGTGGGAAGTTTTATGGGCCGGGAAAATCAGGTTTTTAGGGGATTGTTTACTTATAATATGTTGGAAATGAGTGTCGCGGAGGCAGAGTGGGACCTTATTTCACTTTTTTTCTGACAAATCTGATGTTACAATTAATAAAAGCTTAAAAAGAAGAAAAATCCAAGGGGCCCACATGAGCAGTTTAAGGGGCCTACCTGGAAATTTCCCAATTCCTGGTGGACCACCACGCTCCTGACTAACAAGGTGTAATCAAGCAGAACCTCGTTGAAACGAGCGTAGCGATTGCTCACGAAACATGAGGCTCATCCATAATTCTATGTTACTCGCGGATCTTTTTAAAGGCAACAACATATCGGCGTAGAATACACCACAATTTACTATCAAAGCAAAACTTTATCTCACGTGCTTTGGAAGAGCACATGTTGGAGCTTGCAGGACACATTTTTAAAGACACATTTTGCAGAACACACTTTGCAGGACACACTTTGCAGGACACATTCTGACACGTGCCACGTGACACGTGGAAGATTTTTGAAGGAAACGTGAACTTGCAGGATACAATTTTAAGCAGTGAAATTGTGCTCTAATTAAGTGTTGTTCTACCTAGTTTGATCCACGACACAGTTTTTCATAGAAAAGTCACGAGGCACACCACCAACAGACAATGTTTAAAATGAAACTTTGTGGCCTATATTGACAATATATAATCGTTCTCAACAAAGGGTCTTCAATAGGAATCAAAAGTAGCTTAAAGAATTTTGTAACTTGAAGCAATAATCTACTTACAAACTGATCTTCTCATAAAAACACAGCGCATATCAAAATTTCCGATTTCTTTTCAAGCATTTAGTTTGCCTGTAAACAGGTTTTGTTGGAATGATAAGTGCATATCTTTGTAATAATTGATGACGCAAGTCAGTTTTATCCATTAATCATTTGTGGATAAATTCAGTCATTGCTAATCCCTATAATTTAGAGACAGTTTGAACTCATGAAACCTAAAGAAAACAGTTGAGTGTGATGTTTCGTGCCTAAAAGCAATCGCTTAATTCCTACAACTAGGGGCAACCTGCGCCGGTCTCAAGCGTTTGTAAACAATAGGAAACTGTAAAGACAACCTCTCTATATTTGAGTGACAGTAAAAAAAAGTTGATACATTTTGTGATTGAATTGAGACAAAATTCGTAAGAAAGAAAACATTACTTTTGGCAGTACTTATTTTTTGGACAATGTAGGGGTAATTGATGGGAATTTTAGGGTTAAAATATGGATAAAACCGAAGTAAAGGTACAAAAACTTTCTTGAGGACTTAAATTTCTACAAAACCAAAAGCAAAGTCAAAGCACAAAAGCCAAAGCTCCCTTGAATCCTTGAACCTCCCGAAACCACGTTATAAAGATCCTCAAACAAACACTCATCTAGCAAATAAAGCTCCGAAAAAGGGTGTGAATCTATTACCAACTCGAAGAAATGCTCATATAGTTGCAGGTTCGGATTTTTCTCTGGAAAACGTGCAAGGTTTCGGGTTTTGAATACTGGATTTCCCAGACTTTAGTCCGAGTTTGCACCATAAATGGATAAAAGAGTCATTTACAACCCGGAGTCCTAAGGAAAATCAGAGATGAAGACCCTGTTTTGGGACTGCAAGAGCGTGTAAAACACCAAAGCAAGGTGTGAAAATACTAATTTTTCTCGTTAAGTTGGTGGAGCTTATATATAGAAGCTTCAGATTAGATACAGAATCGCAGCCTTAACAACATGGACATATAAATAATTTGGTGCCCTAAACCGCGTTACGCCATTGACCTCCTCATTCCCCTCTTCTACCCCTGCCCGATATAACGAGATGTTATGGTTCACCAATATGATTGTGATGAGACGGCTTGAGCGAGAAAAATTCCAACGATAGAAGGCGAGAAAACTTTATGAGGATGGCTCATTGGTTGGGGTTGGGGACTATAGATCCAATGCTTTTGGGATAGAGTAAGGAGAGATACCAGTCCTCTTTTATTCCAGGCGTGGGTATCATGAAATGTGACTCTCCCTTAAATCACACAATAACAACGCGTTGTAGTCTTGACTCTTTAGTCTGAATTGCGCATGATTCAAATTTTGGACAAAGATGACATCAGTAAAGTAATTTTCCCTCCAGCTGAGTAACGGATGATTTTAAAGCATACTTAAGATCTGCCGTTTGAGATGAGTAGCTGACTTAAAAGCTGTGCATTTTACGTACAGTATGACAACAGAGAGATTGTTGAGCTCTATATATGAATCAACTGTGGGTTCCTGTTCAAGTGGGCCGTGGGATCCGTCATTCGATATGTGGGCTCGTAATGCAACAGCTTCTGCTCTGCAATGTCTTTCTCATGGGACAGAGGTTTCAAGAGATGGTTTCATTTTCTATGCATGACAGAACGCTTTCCCAGAATCACCATTCTAAAGTTGGTTTTTACACAAAACTTCTTTGATGATGGTAGAAATTAGGAGACACTTATTTTTTGAAAGCATGACAAAAAAGTAAGGTTTCTGTTTTGTTATGAGGTAATTGTGACCGAAACATCGAAACAAATTTCAGTTAAATGTTTACCAAATGCTGCTTTTAGAAAATTATCACTTACATCTTTGTCTTGTTTGTTTGCAAGTAGCAGCAGAGGGATGCCATCCAAGTTATCATGGATAAATGTACTCTCTAGAAGAAAAATAGATAAAGATCTCAGTGAAAATGGAAACTAATTTTATCATTGAAATTAAAAAGGATCAACTAAGTCAAAAATACATTAAAACTAGCAACGGCATTTCAATTGAAATATATGAGGATTGAGTGACCAAAGACTGTAACAGACCTGTGGCTTGATGGGAACTATGTGACGTATCATTTTACAGCGATAAAGAAAATATTTCACCTTGTTGTTAAGCTTACGAAATGGTCGTATTAAATGTGCACAGGGGTATATTAACATAAGAATAGCCACTAAAAGGTTCTAAAAGGTAACGCTTATCTGATAAAAACATTTTATAGAATGTTTGAAACAAACAGATTTTGCTGCAATCTGTTAGTTTCACTCGCTTTTGCTAATCCTTCGAGTACATTATCGCAAAGAAAGAAGGAAATTCCAACTACTTTTCTAATTGGAAAGCAAAATGATAAGCTGCATCTTATTAAGGGATTTCTCGAAGCTGCAGTTCACCGTTTGAGGCACGAAAATAAAAGATTATTTTTACTCAAAACTCTTTCGATAGCAGCGTAGACATCTGGCAAATTAAGTTTTGAACATCAAAAGTATTTTTGATAGTTTTTTGCTCGAGTACAAATTTTAGACTCCGCTGGTGAAACGCACAGAGACAGAGACTTTCAGATGGAGACTAAAAAGTAACTAAGCCAATACATAATTCAAAATCAAGCATTCGAAAGAAGTGCCAGATAGACCAAGACTTATAAACATGAAACCATCAATTACAAGAGGAATGGCAATAATTAAAATGGAGCAATAAGAAAGATTTTTATCAAAAAAATTACACTTAGAGACTTAGCATCAACTAGGAATAAAAATTTATTTAAAATCAATAAGTGACCTGGCACAAAAATTTGGAATACCAAAATCATATTTAAGTCGACAGAGCTTTGCAACTTTGATCTTTTTTAACCAGTTACTTGTTGAAAATATCAGACTTTGGCAAGAATGTTTTTCAAGAAGGTAAAACCTTTTTGGACAATTTCACATAAAAGAAAAAGTGATCTGGTAAGTCATTTAAAATAATACGTAATTGAAGCACAAACCAAGGATAGCCATCGATTCATCAATTCTTGTCTTGTCAGATGAGTCAACGATATACATGACGCCATGTGCATCTGTATAATACTGAAATGGTAGACACATTGTTTACATTAGAAGCATGTATAAAAAATATTGGGTTTAAAGTAATAACAACTAAGAGTATATTAACAAAAAAGCAGGCTGTGAAAGACAAGAAAATCAAAAAATATACTTTAGAAATACTTTAGCAATTTACTTTAGAATAAAATGAAGAAGTTTATGCAGTCTTGATAAAATGCAAACAAACATTTTACCATTACATCACCTAATATTGCTAGTAAAATTTAAATTTATACTTAAGATACATATAAGTAATACCGGGAAGAAACAAATCAAGAAAGAGAAGAAACAAAGGAACTCAAAATGTTGGCAAAATTAAAGGCAAACAGAACCGAAGGCTTGAAGGTACATTGAATTTATATATTTTTAAACTTTTTTGAAAACTTGAAAAAAGATAAAAAACGTTTCACAATTGGCACAAAAAATTAGGCTGAAATGGCCCATGAAAATTAGCTAAAAAAGAAACAAAAAGCAAAAACTTAAATGTTGTATCAAAAATGTGAAAAACATGATTAAGAGGCATTGATTCATTATTATTATGGACATAGATATTGAATTAATGGTAAAAACAGAGTCTCGATGATACAAAGATTGGATAAAAGGAAACTAAATGCTGGAGACAAAGCTAGGCTTGGTGGTATAAGTATTTGATGTTTAGGTAACATTGCTTTTAGCATTTGAAATTTTATAGGGGAACTGCTTTAACAGGGAGCTTCAGGAAAAGACAGAAAAGATAAAAATGTAAACAAAGAAGAAAGAGAAACACATCATGTAAAGATGTGGCAAAAAGCAATACCTGTAGAAGAAAACAGAAGAGGTATACACAAAAGAACAAGAAAGAAAAGGAAAACCAAGAAGAAATAAGATAAGAAGAATCAAGGAAACTTTGAAAATGATAGAAAATTAAAAGAGCCTTTGGGAAGAAATGAGGTTTTTGAATCTAAAAAACTCAAATACTGAGATAAGCATCACTAGTATAAAGTTTTTGAACCTTCTTAAAGACATTAGCAGTCAATTCTTGTTTTACAAGGATGATGAACTATAAGCAGGAATCTGTACTGTTTTTGAACATTTTCTTATTTTTTATAATCATTAACAAATGTATTGTATCACTATCAATTTTTTGAAGAAAGAGCTGTTCAAATTTTGTTTACAACTTGCTTTTCTTTTATTTGACTTGCTATCCAAAGAAATCAATAGAAAGCAAGATTTTTGCACTTAATTAAATAAACCTTGAGGAGGAAAGAGCATTGTTTTGGGAGTCAGAAAGCTCAAGATCACACAATAAAATTTTTCAGATTTGAAAGAATAAAAATGTAAACTAGAAAGAAAAATGAAGCGATGAATAAACACAACAAATATTGAAACAAAAACAGTGTACCTTATCCCAAAGAGACTGGAGATCTTGTTGACCACCAAGGTCCCAAAATATCAGCCTAATCCCTTCAATATCAATGCGGCCAACTATAATGTAAAAAGACAATCAAATAAACATTTTCCAAGTGTCAAAAATGATATGTTGTCTGGGATTTTACTTATGAAATTTGGTAGACAAATATCTCTCATATACCAGTTACCCATATGTGAACTTGCTTCTAAATTGTTTAGTGCACAAATCATTCATTCCAGATAGTAATTAGGTCAGTTTTGTGATAAACAAGTTAACCCTGTTTCAAAAAGTAAACTACTTTTATGGCACCCAAGTACATCACTATTTCTAACCCCCTTTTATCTATTTAAATATCTTTCACCCATACTCATCATCAGGTTCCATCTTCTACCATGACCCTCCAACTATCCAAAAATCTGAGGGTTTGTTGTCAAGGTCATAGATAAAACTATGTTAAATAAAAACAAACTTGCACAATTAGTTGAAATGATATCAAAGGTTGATTGATATCAACTCTCTTCTGATTTGCTAAAACACAACCTTGTTTCCAGCCCTCCCTATTTAAAACACCACATACTCCAACAGCCCTGCTTGTTCTCACTTCCTGCTCATGCCAGTCCCTTGGCTTTGCTTACTATAAATGCATTTTACATACCATTCATTCCAACTGTTGGATGAATCTTGTCAAATGGTATTCCTTTGTAGTTTAGAGCAAATTTTCTTTTTATGTTTTCCAACAATGTCTGAAATAAAAACAATCAAAGTTAAATTAGAAGTGGATGAAAAAATAGGATCAAAAAATACATATAGCAATCAACCATTTGCAGCACACAAATGTATTCAACATATTACTCTAATACATAATATTTTTTAAATGAACACAGAACTACATCAGACCTGGTTCATTGTTAGTTCATTGAAATCAAATCACTTTAAAAGAGGGATATAATCAAAGTGATTTCAAAAAATTTCTATGAAGTAATTTGGATATGAGATCAATCTGATTACTTAGACATTGTTTGACATTAGGCACTTAAAAAGCTTTCAAAATGTGAAGTTTGTGCAGTGCTTATATTAATGTTTCTTTTTCTGTATTATTTAATACTCATTATTACATTCTAATAAACATTTATTTGGGTGACAGCAGCCACTGCAATTGTCCTTGCTAATTTCAAGTAAAAACAAGAATGAAAATAGTTAGTATTGTAGTGACTCTGCCTAGGCCTGTTTACATTAATCTTTCCTTCTAATTCATTTGATCACATTCTCACATCGCAGCAAAGGCATCCACTACGTCACTCTCATTTCACACATTCACTAGTCCCTATTTTTTACTTCATCTTTGCCACATTATTCAATTTTCTCATCACCTTGACTTTCCCTTCCAATCATTTGTTTTCCCTCACATTATTGGTGTTAATTTTAGATATTAATTATTCTATATAAGTATGTTAATTTGTAAGTGATTTTAGTTCATTTAGAATCAAGACACACAATAGGCACATCCTCTCTTCTCCAGCACTATGGTCTTGAGATATTAAATAGGACTCACTGGGTTTGCAAACAGCACGTTAGTCATGGATAGATTTATTTAGTGCCTACATCGCTTGTTGTTCTGATGTACAAATGTATGAAATATTTTACAATTAAAGATTGTTTCAAATTAGCTAATGTACTCTCATCCCAAATGAACACATCAACTGACACAATCTCAGCAAATTTAAGCCTGTTTTCAATGAAGGGACTTTTTCATTTCAAGTATGTGCACACTGAGATTCCTTAAAATATTGCTTGCAAGAATTTTGTGTGTAAGAATGTTGTGGTTGGTAACCAGGTAAACCTTTAATGATTCACATCTTTCTCACCAATTGTTTCCAAGTATACAAGAGAGATTGTTCAATAAACTGATTTATTTCCTCCCACAAATCAAAAGTATTTGGCTTCTGTGTATAAAAAACTTAACAATTTGTTTACAAATCTTACAAATCTGGTATAAACAAAAATATCTTGCTGATGATCTCTCATCTGATATGTTGTACCTAATCAAACTGGTTTTTCTCCAATATCCTACTGCTTAAGAGAAAAAGACAAATGCAGTTTGTGATAACCAATGTTTAATAAAAGTACTATGTAGAAAGCTTCAAATGTAGAAAACAAGGTTTCTGGATTTTATGTCTAGATCTTCTGGAAACTTGTACTCGACAATGATAAATGGATTCTTAGAGAAAAGTTTTAAAAATTGGATGATGAATGCAAGGGGCAGTAAATTCAAGTATCATAGATGCGAATTTTAACTGTCCCATATATGCATGGCGTAAGATTAATAAATAAGTATCAACTCAACATAAAAATTATTTCATACATGATCTCGATCTCGCCGGCTAATTCTTAAAATCACTTCACGTTGCTTCCTTACAGATTTTTGCTATCCTACTTTTGAACTTTCGGATAAGTGTTAAAATAGCCAAAAAGAAACTTAAGTCTAAATGGATTGCGGGCAGTTATTTTCTTAATCACCAGTGACATGTCATTTTTTCCTTGGTTCTTTCTCTAAACAATAATGGCCTTCAAAATCAAGTACAGAATGAACAATTTGTCACGCGTTTTCTTACCGTTTTACCGGCATTATCCAAGCCAAGAATGAGCACACAGTATTCATCTTTTTGGAAAACATATTTCCACAGTCCAGAAAGAAGTGTAAACATTTCTCATTTGTCTCTAGATGAACAAGTTTGCCCTACATGTTTAATCTAAACTTCCTCTATAAATTTTCAGGTCAACTTGACATCAACCATGTTCATTTGATTTAAAACCCCGAGAAATGAATTGAATTGCGCATACTATTCCCGTACCCCTGTGCTAGCCACAGGGGCGAATGTGACGTAGAAAGCTAGAAACAGGAGAATGTGACGTAGCAAAGCCTCTTTTTTAAAGAAAACTCTTTTGTTATAGTTGTAAAATTTTTCCTTGCCCCCCCCCACTTTCCAACATGTATCAGAGCCCATATAATAGTTACATTAACATGCTTTTGACGATAAGATGTTCTGTGATGTCTTTCATTCTCAACTTAGTGTTTCAATTCCAGGATATTTTCAGGGTGTACAACTGGGGGGCAAAGACTAGCCCATTCATGTTTTTGAAACATTTTACACAGGAATTCTCCTTGCTATTTTTAAAGCAACAAACCCTTTGCTGAATTTAAGGAAAATAAACCACAGTTGTCTCGTGAATTATTGAGACCAATGAAATCGTCCATATTTTATTTATTATCCATTAGTACTTTATAAAAACTATTCACTCTCTGTTCACCAAGCGCAAGTTACTAACCTATATTATAGGCCCTAAGTTCATTTCGTTTGCTTTGGATCAGGCAAAACACTATCTTTCAGGTCAAACAGATCAAAAAGAGAGCAGAACGATTTTGAAAAAAATGTCTTTTAAACATCACAAACTTAGTCATAGCTGTGCAGTACTTCTAATGCAGGTGATTGACGTACGACAATGCATATTAATAAACCGAAGAAAATTATGTCGACTACCAACTATCTACGCAGTTCTACTGGGCTGTGGCTGTAAATAAAATTTCAAGCAAAATGATAACTTTTCTGATCATATAGATTCAGTTATTACTAACTATTACATATATACAGGATATATATATTCACAAGCGTCTACAATATTTGTCGGTTTGAACACGCCAAACTTAACTTTATTAGTTTAAAGCTTATATAGGAAAGGCTACAAAGTCTCCTCAAAGCTTACCGTGGGTACCAGAGCCACACAAATTCGAGCGCGTCAATAGCGGAGGGGCGTCTAGCTGAGAAGAAAGATAAGTATAGACCTCTATAGACACTCCTTCCTTCTTCTAAGATAGACACTCCTCTGCTTCACCACTCCTATCTTGTATTTCAGTACTTGAATTTATCTGGCTCTGGTACCCGGACCCTATGTAAGAGGCGCTTCATAACAATGAAAGGTAGAGCGCAATCTTACGTACGTAGTAACAACGCACTCTTACGTGATCAGGAGAGTGAACCTGTTACACCTACTCGGGGTAGTTAAAGCTTTACGGGATCTGGCGCACATCAGCTCAAAAAACTGCGTCCTGCTTCTAATAAGTTTTTTTCGCTATTACAGCATTGATCACTGGACTAGTCAACACAGATGAAATTCAAAACAAACATGTTCCAATCACGTAGCTGTAGGTGTCGGCTAGGGGGGGGGGGCAAACTCGAGCAAGAACCAAACCTGAGGGGGGGAAGGCTTTAAAACAGGAAAACAGATATATAACAAACATATATATATTTGGACGAAATCAAGGTCATTGAATTACAAAATATGCCAAATTTTCAATATATCATTTGGAAAAACTGTAGCCAGAGGGGGCAAGCTGTTGTTAAAATTTTCATTTGGGGGCACAGCTACGCAACTTTGAGCATCTTACGCAATCTTACGAGTTGCAACATATCTTACGCAACGTTACGGGATTCGAAATAGTATATCGAAATAATTATATATCTTGTTATGTATCATATAGGTGTTTAAAATAAACTCGACTCGAAATAATTTTGACGTATGGAAGAAGTTTAATTTGGGAAAAAGATAAGCCATTGGAATGCGGTCTTGGGCGGACTGTAGACTAGTCGATTTGAGTAACTGAATATTTTATCAAGTATTTCGCTCAAATAAATTTGACGATGGAATAAAATTTTACTAGAACTTTACTGAAATTTTTTACAGTATTATTTCATAATGAAATAAATATAAAGACTTCTTAATGTAAACTATTAAAATTGTAATTACACCAGAATTCTCTTCATTTCACTCAACAAATGGCTGGCCCCATAAGAAATAAGAATAACGTGGAAAAAGATCGTGACTGATGACGTCATTGTAAATTTCGGCAATTGATGACGTAACAGTTAACGATTTTTGTTGTCAATGCCACGAAATCTCGTGGAATATGACTCACGGTAACGATCAGAAATAAACACAGAATTAATTATTCACAAAATTAGCATAAAAATTCAAGCTCGCTAAATATTAACAAAATTATAGCCATAATGTATCAAGCACGTTTTTATACATTAGAATAACTTAAGAGCTGCTTCTTAGAGAAATTTCATATTCGTTCGGGAACAGTATTTGGGTGCGTACAGCTAGAGCATTAAAGATCTATGGCAAAGTGCTTGCATTGAGTTGTATTTACAAATCGTTGAGCTAGGCTCTAGAGGCGCGAGAGTCCCTAAATATTATCCGCTATCAGACAGCAGAACTTTATCATGGATAAGGGCTCAGAATAAGGGCCTGAAATTTAATGGCCTGGTCAAAAAATTCTACAATGATAAACATATATTACAAAATGATAATAAGCGTAGATTGAAGGTAAAAGCAATCTCTTTTTATTATAGCTTAAATAACAAAGACAAAAAAATTTACAAGTTTAATTATTTTATGACCACCTTTGAAGAGCTCATTTTATAGGATGTTTTAAAAGTTTTGAAGAGGAGCCAGAAGTATAGTTGTATGGGAAGAGAATCAGGGAGTTGAGCAAGGGGGGAGGGATTTTTCAAAATAGGCCAACGCCGAGACTTTTTGCTGTTGTAGCTTCATTTGTACGTGCATCGTCACCTTTTCTCTGAACTTATTTTCAGACGAATGTATAGTATAGTATCTGTATAGTATAGGTCATGTGCTCGTGTTTTCTGATTGGCCTATTTCGATCCACAACTGGGTATATATATTTCCTAGCGTAGAGGTTTCGATCTATGTTCTGACGTTTTAAACTCTGAAGAGTGTCAGACGAAAAGCTTTAGTTTACTAAATGTTTGCTTTTTCAAAGCCATTTACAAGTTTTGTACCACCAAAAGATTGTTTGCAAATTACTATCTGTTACGTCACATTCATTCCGTGGCTCCACGTGGCTCCACGATTTTCATAATGGAACATTTTCAACTGCAGACCACCCAAAATAGGTTAGCTGCTGTCGAAAAAGTAAGAAGTTGCATGAAACAATTTTTTGTGAAAAATTATTAAAACGGGAGAGGGATCAAAGGAAGGAAGAGGAAAGAGAGCTGTACATCTTAAGTCAAATAAAATCTTTACAAAATATAATTCGCAGCTCCATGAAAAGAAGAGCTAGCTGTTGCGAAAAGCAAGCCAAGCACCATTAAAAGTCTGAAGATTGCAATAAACATAACACCCCTGTGTGACAAGCCAGGTGAAAATATTTTTGAGCAGGGGAAAAAAGTGAACGACTCTGGCATTTTCCCATTGCTCCATGCCCCTGGCAAATGCAAGCTAGGGTACTTTTGCCCCTTGTCTGTCTTGAGTTCCTCCTTTGAAACAAAAAGCACAGATGTTCACTTTGGTAGTTCTTTTTAGGTCTAATTCTCCGGTTCAATAAAATTTTGGAGTCCCCTGTAATATTATGTCGGTTATCACACGTGATAAAGAAATTCGCCGAGCTTGTTACACAGGGGTGTAACTAACTTACTTAATCAGCAAATTTATTACTGCCCATTGCAATAAGCTAAGCTACTTCACCAGCAAAATTATAGTTGCTAAACAACATCAAGATATGAACAGAATGACATGAAAATCGACGATTCGGCATCATTATTCACCTCTTAACGACGATGTGCATGACAAATGGGTCTTTACCTTTCCTTTCTACCCTCCTTTTCTTTTCTTGCGGCTCACGGTAGAAATCCAAGTAGCCCAGAAGGGACGTCGGTAGGGGCAGCTGCCTGATGGACTTCGAAGTGTTGCCTCTAATGTTTTGCAAGATCGAGAAACGGCAAATCTCTTGAAGCGAATATGGCTCTGCAGCTAAGGCAGAAATAAATTTCAGGTAAGTCCGGGACTGCATGAGAATGGTATTGACCTAATTGCAAAAACCTAAAAGAACTAGGTATGTATAGTCAGGGACCGTGCACTACTCTAAAAGTGGAAGGGGTGAAATGGGTGCGACCGAAAAATTTTTGAGGCCACGCCCTCTTGAACGCCGGAAAACGCCCTTTTTAGAAAATACTCGCTTATTTCTATTGAATTTTTATTAACAGTCTTGCTCAGAAAAGATATTAATAACTATAAAACAGATAGAATTAGCTCGAGGGTAATAAATAACCAAGCTAACCAAGTTAGAAAATACATCATATCAATAAACAAGATGAAACACCTAGAAAAAGAACAAAAATGGTTCCCAGTCAATGAGAACTGCTACTACATAGGAGTAAACTATCCAAAGTTGCGTTAGAGTAAATCTTCGAAAAAATTTTCTGGCCTATTATTGCAAAAAAGTGGGTGGGCTATAGCCCCTGCTAGCCCAATGGCTGTGCGGTGGCTGTGTATAGTTTAATGCGAAATTTCAATAAACGTTTGCTAAAGAAATCCGAATTTGGTTAGCAGACTGCTATTTGTGCATCGGCATTCATTAGCTTATTGCAATTATCAATAATTAAGCTAGAACATGGATTCCAACTTGAATTAAGCGTCGAAAAAAGAAAAAAATTTGGAAAATTCTGCAATCAACTGAATCAACGTTGGGTAAAAGAAGTAGAAAAATGGCAAAACAACTTAACCACCTTAGATTAATTTAACATGTAATGCAAACTTAACTTACTTATTTCAATGATACTATCTGCAATATCTGTTTTCTCTGGTTCGATCAGCGGTGCAAATTGGACTGGCAAGAGGTTACTTTCCTCCCAATCAGTAGCTGATATTCGTTTGTATTTCATCAACTGGATTGAAAAAAACAAAAAGCTTTAGACATCATAATATAGCCACAGCCTGTAGAAAGCTGAGCTACAATCCTGGACAAAATTCTTGAGACCAAAACATGCCCATCTAAACTCGCCTCTTTTCTTTGAATCGATGTTGGTTTAGTAGTTCAATCATTTATGCTTCAAAAGTTATGCATTGTAGCATTGTAGTTATGCACGTCAAAAAAGTAAAGAAAATTTTTGTCCCGGATAGTAGATGGAGAGGGGAAGGGGGTCTGCAGGGGGTCAGATATTTGATTCAAAGGCCTGCAAAAATGATGTAATTCTTTTAGTGTTTGACATGCTCTAAAGCATAGAATAAGACTTTCTTACAGCCCGTAAGTAGGTGCCCGTCTCGGCTTTTTCCATAGGGCCAGGAGTGTAGCGAGCGGAGGTGTAGGGGGTGCAAGAAAATAGATTATGTCATACAAAAATGGGTAAATATGAGATACGCATACACAACCACACGCAAACTTTTTTCTCTCACATGGTAGCTGATTAAGTCAGACTTTGAAATATTGTTCTAGGGAGCTGGCTTATTGCCTTCTTTGGCAGCACGAGAAAATGCTCTGGAGCTTGCGGATTGATATTTAAACTTTTCTGTTGATGACCCTCCATCCTCCCCCCTCATTGTCTGGAAGGTCAAGCGACGCCACTGCTTAGGGCCCGAGATTCCTCCGTTACGCCACAGTACATATAAAAATATATAGAGACGTCAAAAACCAACTTGTTTGACGTTCCGCTGTGACCTTCTTCAGAGACAAATACATACCCATACTCTAAGAGTACTGGGGCACGTTTGAAATTTCGAAATTTGTATAAAGTAAATTTTGAAAGATTTATTTTGAGTCATTCTCATTATATATTCAATAAAAAACTGCATCTCTATTTGACGATCTCTAAGAAATTTTAAGGGTCACGTGACTTTACTCTTTCAAGGTCACTTAGCTTCTGTTCATATTTTGTTGATATATGCATTAAATTCACAAGAGTTCTATGTTTTATGGCTATAATTGAAACTTAAGATGTATTTTAGCATTTAAGCATTTTGTGGATACTTAAACCTAGACTACTGACAGGGGCGTAACTAGCGGGAGTGTAATGAGGGTGTATCACCCCTCAATACTTCACGAGTTCTATGGTAAATCTTCAGTTTGTCTACAAAATCCTTAGTTTGTCAGTAAAATCATCTATCAGTAGGTGAAATAGCACCTAAATTCTTCTCCATCTTTGTCATGCCCATATAACGCCCAGTTCAAAACAGCGAAGCCACATTACAAAATATATGGATATAATATCTTATCATACAGATGAAGCCAAATATGGAGCTCAGTTCCCAACAAAATAAAATAACCTCTACTTTACAAATACTTAAGAAAAAATGTGATCTTTGCACGGAATATGTATGCAACAACAGTTATACTTAATCTACATATATTTAGCATTATTGGCTTGAGTATAGCTAGAAATTGTACTAACTTTAAATAAAGAAAAAAAACTAACTTGTGGATTGCTACAAGTAGATCATAGGTATTTGGTAATTTATGTTAACTGATATTTGAAAATGGATACAAAATCACTGGAATGCACAATGCAGAACTGGATATCAAAAATAAACAAACTAATTGATTGAAAAAAGACAAATCATACACATAAAACTAATTATTTTCCATAAAAACTACAATGAATTATAATTAGTTGAGATAAAGTAACACTTTTTCGTGAATGATTAAAGACTGACTAAGGCAAATTTTTCCCATTGAGTGGGATTTCAAGTTGTTTGAGCCCCAAAATCACTTCTTCAAAATTTAGTCCCATACTAAGCCACTTTGTGGTCACGGTCAGTCATGCTTAAAGGCCTTTTGGTGTATATAAAATTCAAAGATATATCAAGGCAAACTAAGTCATGATACTAAAAGTTAATATTAAGTTTATTTCAACTCATGCAGATGTAAAACAGCATTATCACTTTTATCAATGTTTTTGCCTTTTGTTACACAAGCATCAAAATACTTCAAAGATACATGTTACAGTAGGCAGTAGCATAGTTAAGGGGGAGGCAAGAGAGGGTGGAGGCCCCTTCAATGGCAAAAACCTGGTGTTCCGAAGGGTGTTGACCCCCTTTTCCACTCGCTCAATCTCCTTTGCATTCGATCTTATAACCCTGGTTATGCTATGGATTGTAGTTATTTCATATTTGAAAAAAAATACTTACAGTATCTCTGATAGGAACAATGAGTATTCCACCAACTTTGATGAGAGATTTCAAGTAGGCCTCATGCTCTAGAGGACAACCAGCTCCACAGTAGACTCTGTCATATTTCCTGTAACTTGGGTTGATCATTAAGCAATTTCCCACAACAAAATTTGGCATTGCAAAAGAAGCTGGGTTTAGGCCCTTTGCATGTTTCAAGAAATTTACAACTTTTGAATAAGAGTATTCAATGACATCTTTATAAAGTTCAACACCATGGTTCAAACCATATGGTCCAATCATAAGGCCAACAAGTGTGGAAAGATACCCAGTACCACTTCCGAGGTTCAGAAATGACAGTCCCTCTTGCAGTTCAAAAGCTTCCATCACTTCACAATAAATGCAAGGTGCTGATATGTGGACATTGCCTTGCTTCCAAGCAAGGTCTTTATAAGCATCTTCTGGATAATCACCAGGAAAGAAATCACCTCTGTCAACTAATCGAAAAACCCTCTCTACCTCCCTGGATTTAATGTAATTTGCTTCGCACAAATTAGTTACCAATTCATCATTGTCTTGGCCAGCACTGACAGCTCCTCCCATGTTTTTTGACTTTTTATTGCAAGCTGGTAGGAGCTACCTAGATAGGAGTTTTAAAGCAAAATGTTATCTTTTGCTTTTTGCTAGATGTGGGGTATTAAAGCAGTTTTTGTTGGTGGGGATTGTTGGTGTTTTTTTCTAGGTTGAACAGAGGAAAACAAATAAGGGGGTGAGTATATTTTCAGCAAATTAATTAATTACATGTTACGTGATTTAAGTTCGTTGTTCAAAATTCAATTATTAAATGGGAAATTCAATAATCCCAAATTACAATAAGAGCATTAATGAAGAAAACCTTATATCAATTAAATCAGCTGACAGGCACATGAAAAAAACTCAAGATAGAGCTATCAAAGCCATGTGCCCGGTTGACTTGATTAGATGATATAAGTTTACAATTTATTTTGGCTTGAATAACAGTAAGAATAAGATAATAGAAGTGGAAATGAAACTAGAATAAAAAAACAAAGGAAATTAATAAAGAAAGAAATTAATTAAAACAAGTGACAAATTAATTAAAACAATCACAGAATAACATTAATGACCAGTAAACCAATATCATTTAAATTTATCTTCCATTGAGCGAAAGTGGATTTACTTTACAAAAATTCTGGGCAAATTTATGGAAAAATATTAGGGCCTAATAAAGATAAATGAGTTTTTCCCTTCGATTGTATGTTTAAAGATTTCATGGTGGTTTAAAATGGCATTGACATGCTACAGATTTATACAAATAAGAGGCAGGTAGGATAACTAAAAGATACAAATCATTTTCATACCAAAGAACACAGAGAACGATAAAAATGATATCCTGACAAAAAGACTAGACAGAATACAAGAAGTTTGAAAGCTCACATTTCTCGACAAGGGAGCGAATTGAGGGGGCTCAAGCCACTTTTATTTCTGTCATTATTTCCCACTAACAAACGAAGGGCAGTGAAAGACTTATGTTTATAAATAAGGTTTTTTAAATCCTTTGTCCCTGACTTCCAATACTGCTTATAATTAATTATCGCTGGTGATGAAACTTCGATTGCTTTCCAAATTTCAGGATAAAATTGTTCCTCCTTTTATGAATACTTGTTAAGCCTTCTGATTATTCAATGATAATCCTACAACTCACAGATCTTCTTTCTTTTTGAAAACAGAAATAATTTTTAAGAAAAAATATCTCTTTAACATTTGGATCCGAGCCGACATAATCAAAACAAACCAAAAAAAATCCCTCTCTATGATAATGAAGATAATTTAACCTAGAAAACAAAGTCAAGTACTGGGAATGTTACTAACCTGTTTGCTATCACCCTCATTAAAGGCAAAGGTATTTAGTATTTTATGCAAATCCTGAAGCCAGTTCTTCACATTCGTTTCGAGATTAATTGCAAAGCTTCCATCAAAAATTCTTCACAACTCTGTTTACACCAAATGTGACTAGATCGCGCTCGTCCCAGTCTTCTATGACGACTTTCGATGGGATTTATTTTCGGTCGAGGAGGGCAACCCAAAATTAATCCCAACGAATTTTTTAACCCGAAATTTTTCTTACTGAAATTTTCAAACGCTAGAAAAACTGGTATTACACCGATTGACTTTCAAAATAACAAAACTTTTTTTCCTTGACACAGTTTGAGTATTACTATGCATCTAGTATATACCAATTTTTAGTTTCTGATTCTCCTTTGTCACCAACGAACAAGATATCCAGCTGCTCTTCACATTCTTTTCTTTCTCCCTCTTCGTCCAAGAAACTCAAGTTTTCTATTGGCTGAGCTAATGCTTCGACTGGCTCTTCATAAATTTCTGCGGTTTCAATTTGGACGTCTCAATTTTTAACTCGTGATCGTTCAGAATTTCTAACCCCCTCCTTGCAATTGGCGAGCGATAATATTGCGAACAGTAAACGCTTCTAATTAATTTTCCTTCATTGGTTATAAAAAATGAAAGAAAAAGACCTCCTCTAAAAAAGCATTTAAGAAATTCTCGCCTCTCTTCACTTCCATTTATTGGGCTGACATCAAAATATTCGATTTTTGTAAAACTTACCGAAAGTATTTCATTTCTTTACTTTTACTTTTTTCTAGCTTAGCCAGTGCGCTTTTTGCAATTGCAATTTGATTTTAACCAACATCAGCTTCGACACCCCTAGCAGACTAGTTATCGGCAAGTTCGGCTTGAAAACAATTGATCAGCTTATAGCTGGTGAATCTAAAACAATGGTCTTAAACGCATTGCATGAAATGGCTCGACCAGACCTTTATGATATCTTCACCCGAAACTCAAAGAACCAGTGGCAGTTTTAAGGGGTCCAGGGGGGCCATGGCCCCAGGCCCTGCGCTTATGATAGCCAAAAGGGGCTCCACACCTAATAAAAAGATAGAAATTGTAAAGAACAAGGGCTCCGCAGATGTTTTTGGCCCCGGGCCCTACAGTCCCTAAAACCGTAACTGCCAAGAACTCTTCGTATGTCCTGGGCAATACTGAAACAATTTTAAAATTGCCTAAGAAAAAGTCGTGTAATGGGCAACGAAATTATTCTTATCGAGGATTTTTTTTGGCTTCATGTACCCTCAGTCATTATGTCACTGACAGCCAATGACAATTGATTACGTCCTGTAGCCCCAATCAGTTTGAAGATATTTTTTACCTCCCAGCTTCTTTCGCTGTATTGATTTTCATATCCACTTAATTTCTTTCACAGCAACCTAATATTTCTTCATATCTAGTTTGCCAACAACCATCTTCATATCTGGTTCCTGGTTCACCACGAACAGTTTTGCATTAAAGATAAACACACACAGTAATATTACAATAACGCATACCAATACTTTTTCTTTGCATGTGCAGTTCAGTGCAAGCTTCTACGAGCCATTTTTTACGCTTGCTATCGAAAATCGAAATAATTAACCAATAATCTAAATTACAGCTAACGACTTATAATCAGTTACTACTTTTGGGGTAAGCCTTCAACATGAAAAAAATTCTATAAAAAACGACTCCTTACACGAAACTCTTCTCAGCAAAAAATACTTAAGACAGGTCTTCGTTGGTAAGAAATATTTGCCAACACCCTTGTATGATGTGAGTGACGCAACCCCCATTCTTGGGATCAAGGAACATGACTCAATTCGCTATTATACATGCTCTTTGAATCAACGAAAGGGGGGATTAATAACTTATTAGAGGATGTCTCAAAGAAAATACGGCCACAGCTTATGCCAATGGAAACTCCCTTGATATTCACATGCAATGCTTGCGTCTAAAGCTTTATATCAACCAGTGAAAAACTGCTTGAAAATCAAGGTTCTGCATTTCGGAGTTGAGCATTTATTCAGCATAAGTTTTGCAATTTTTGCACCAAGTATTGAAGTTTCTTATTTTCCTAAACGTCCATAACCCCTTTCTTATGGTAGCAATTGGCCTGGCCTTCTATTCTAAGACAAATTTTCAAAAAATTTCTCAAAAAGGATAACTTGAAAATCGTTCACCCCTTGACGATTACTCACGACATAATTTGTGTTTATTTTGCTGGAAAATAAAAATTTAGTCAATTATTTTGTATTTTACATTAAATCAAAGTAACCTTGCAAGTCTTCATAAAGCATGGAAAATACACAGGGTCAATCAACTTTGCATGCATGACTTTTAGTTAGTCGTTTGCCATATGATGATACCAATGATTGCAGCCACAACAAGCAATATGACAACCAAGCAGCATAGTTTCCTTCTTGAGGCTTTCTGCGAGAAAACGCGAGAAGTTGGAGAAAACGCGAGAAGATAGAGGAAGCCCATATAATGCATAGAACACAAACATCCGTCAAAAGGGTACTTTGCTGTGATGCAGTTCTTGTGGCAAAAATTATTTTCCAGAACTGGGGAACTTAAACTAAACTGTCCATTGTACAACCTGGACGAAAGGAATCTCATAAAGCTACGTTTCTTGCAGGCCCGTCACTATCGTGGGGGCACGTGGGGCGTGACATCCCCCTTGACAAAAATTCCACTGCAAAAACGAGGAGTTTTTGCCATCTAAGGTGCTTAGTCAGCAAATTTTCAAACTTGTCGACAAATACAGCTTTGGGTCACCTATTTTGTCGGCAAATGGGACTTAGAAATCCCGCTTGAGCACAATAGACCGACGAACCTGGTCTCTTGAAATGAAATCATTGCGTGTTTCAAATTAGATTGGATATATATATCAATATGGAAGCCAAACATACTTGATAATCTCTCGCTTTTTCAAGCTGGACGTTTCCTTCTTCTATATTGGCCGCTGCGTTTCCAACATTTGCTTCTATCGAATCTATAGAGAAATAACAAATCTGTTTTGCATTAATAGTTCACAAGCAAAGTTCTAGAGCTCGCGCACTTCACAACCTTGGTTTGGAACACATGTTAAAAATCCTACATATGAGCAATAGAGCCAAAATTTGAACTTGCAATTGGAAATGAGCATAATTTTTCTTGCTGCCAATGTTGCATGTAAGATCAAAAATACGATGAAAGTTAAACTAAGAAAAGCTGTTCCATCATGGAAATAATAATTTACGCGTTGTTCAGAGGCTATGTCTTAGAAGCAGGCTGGACTACTGTAATGTTTAGACGGCATAATTTATCATAATATTAGCATAAATTGTTACATCAGTAGGAGGCAATTAAGGGTAGTAAGAGACCAAGAGATATCACACAAAGAGATTCCCTAACTTTTCAAATACCGCCTCATAACTTCGAGTTGCAGGTTTTGAAAACATTATCATAATTTCAAAACGAACAACCAACTGGAATTCGCCATCTCACATGAAACCCTCGTCCTTAAAAACCCGTCTGCGCAAAATCATTTTGAATTGAAAATGTAATAATTTTTACGTTTTTACTTCACGTCTTCATGCTAACGATAAATCCGTGTCAGGAAACGCAAAATTTTATAAATGCGTTTCCTATTGGAATCTTTTAAAAACGCAATAATTGGAAAACGAATTTTCCGTGTGCTCGGAGAAAATTTGACGTGTTTACATTTAAATAAAAATAAAAATTTCGAAAACAAATCCGTGTAGACGTGGTCTAAGATCCTTACGAAAAAACTAACAAGTTTCACAAGTACTTATTTTCACAATCTCTTGAATGAATATTGTGCAAGAAAAATAACATTCTTATTGCATATTAAAGATGCGCATTCGTATTAAAGATTCTTTTTGCGTAACAAAATAGACGTAAGCAGCGAAAATAACATCCCCTAAAGACCGACAAATATGATCTTTATATTATGTATAGCATTAGTGACGCTTTGTAAGAATTTTAAAAAACAACGATTTGGCAATCTTTTTCAAAATGGTCTAAAATAACGAAAATAATAAAAATAAATTGAGTCAAAAAGCATTGCTCTTTTTCCACTCTCCAGAAACTAAACAGAGCCTTTACGAAGGAGCAACAATACGACCGCCAGAGAAAATTTACCTAGACTTCATTTAAGAATTAGCTTCATAGCATTACGTCATAATAAAAATTCGAAACGAGGTTTGGTTTGAAATTTTTATTCACAAAATTCCCTCAATCAATGTCCTCACTTTAAATACTTTTTGCATTGTACGGAAGAAAGTAAATAAAGATTTTTTCCTTTTTGCGCTTTCCACAGAGAAAGCGGCTTTACATTGTTGCATTGAATTGGATTTTGTATATTGCTGAAATGTTATAATAGGTTCAAAGGCTGAGCAACTAGTGTTTCGACGCATTTCTCGTTTGATAATTAACCAATGCAAACACAACATAAATGGTATACTAACCAACAATATCACCCTGCTCATGAACCATCAAGGCAAGATCTTTGAAGATGTCATTTACATCGATAATGTCACTCTGTGAAAAAGACGAACGATAAGTATAATTGATGAGAAACAACATAAATAAGCAAAAACCACATAAACCCTCTTATTACGACACTTTTAAACCGAGGAAACGTAATTTTTTCGCCATGTAAATATCTCAAACCGGAGTTGAACCCGGGTTGAGAAAATCCAGCCTTAGAGTCGAGGTCAACCTGGTTTGAACAAAAGAGAGTTAATCAAACTTTAGGTGAATCCGCATACGCTCTCATGGGTCATAAAAACCATTCTGTTGCATGCTTTCTTCACCCTAAGTTTGTTTACCAATCTGAATTCGTAGAACTGAGCTTGATTTGTTTTCCAGTAGCAACCTTTTGCTTTTCGCTTTGTCTAATCTTTGACAATCTTTACATCAATATAAAGAGTTCAAAATAAACATTCTCAAAAAACCTTCCAATTGTCTTTTCAATTCTAAACAAAAAACGGTGTACGTATGCGCCAGTTTTTTTGAACTCTGAGTTCGCCCCAGGTTCGACTTACTACCCTTGCCAAAATTGTTGGAACACCGATGTTGCTCAATATCAACATCAAATTATTGTCGGAGACAATCTAACTAGGACTGGAAGAGTAAAACCCTCTAAGAAAGGAATCGGCTATCAACCTTTGAATTTTAATATTGTGGTGTTCCAACTATTTATGGCAAAGGTTGTACATGGAGCAATTGGCTTTGAAAAAGCAAACATTTTGAAACACCCTTAAGGTTTTCGTCTGACACTTTTCGGACTATTAAACGTTCGAACTCTAAGCTAAGAAAAATATATACCCAGTTGTTGATCAAAATAGGCCAATCAGAAACGCGAGCACGGGACTGTTAATGTTGCCCAATAATTGCCACTTGCCTATTGGGGATGATACCAATGGGGTCTAAGGCGAAAACGAACTGCTTCTGTCTTCATAATAGCGGGTCTTTTCATTTTGATCTAGATTGATTCTAAAACTGCTGGGTTCAGAAGCATCGTGTAAAGAAGACTATAGAAGTAACTTGATTCGGTAACAGAAGGCTGACTAAATGGAGAATTAGTAAGTTGGCAGATCTGTATAGAAAAGATGACAGTGAGGGATTGACGTCAAAGGCAAAAAATAAATTATAAGAGGCTGGTTCCATAAAAAACCTTACAAAAACTACACATCGATTTACCAAAAGAGTCAAGTAAGAATAAAAAAAAGAGGATACACAAAGAATGCTTGTTTGCAAAAACAGTCGAAGGGAAAAGAAAAATTCAAGATCTAAGCTAAATCTGTGTAAAACATTTATATGTTGAAGGGAATGAAAATAACTGTTTACCAGCCTGTCAGAACGTGCCTGGTGCCGTATAGGCAGAGCTGTACACGCTATTTGGTGTATAGAACCGGACGGTTCTAAGTTGCTACTCCGAATTTCACGCTTAATGCGATTATGAGGCAACTGTGTGTTTGTTAAAAGGTATTTATATATCCATAGCAACGATGCTAATCAACAAAGATAGATTTCTGACATAACTTAGAAACAAAAGCAAATTGATAAGAAGGGAGATCAAAGGCAAAGAAGATCAAAGGTGAAAATGAAACACAAGCCATCGCGTTCTTTGATCAACGTTAAAATTAGAATTGGAATCAGGTTAAAAGTGCTATTTGATAAACCCAAAAAAACATTTTAGCCTGTGACTTTGGACGAATATGATCGCAGAAAGCGAGGAATGGCTATAAATTGGTTTAAAGGAAGAATTGGTCGACTTGCATTGGGCATTGCATTCGGCATTGGGAAGGAAGGATGACTTTGCCAATGAGATTGTGCATGCTGACATTAAACGATGCAAAACCTGAGCATGACACTTACTTCTAACTTCCTGATTGCCTCTTCTCTCTCTCTTATTTCTTCTAAACTTAAGTCTGCTTCAGTTTGGACTTGTAATGAAGGACCACTAAAAAACAAAGGGACAAAAAATAAATAACAAATAAACCAAAGAAAGATAAATCAGGAAAAATAGTGTTACAGATAAACACCTTCTGATAAATCAAAGCCACTACAAAATAAAGATCTTTTGACAGAGTTTGAAAATCAAGTTTGAACAAAATCCAAAATCCCCCAAAATCTGAAAAAATTCTGAAGTTAAATTTTGTCTTTTTTTCTTTAAAATCAAATGATTTCTTTGGCCTTTTTATGGAGTCAAATAGAAGCGCGAATAAAAAATCAAAACGAGGCCTTTTAAAGATATTTAAAAATGAAAGCTAAGTTATACGTTACGAAACAAAATACCTTGCCTATCGCTGGTGGCCAATCGTAAGTTCGAAATCCTAAAATAATTTCCAAGGTGGGATAATTTTCCAAAATGAATTCAAAAGCGGTCAAATGGAAACTTTAAACGTAATTCGAACAAGAAAAAAACTTGTTTGCATTAACGACTGAACAGTACTAACCCTTGTTGCCCAAGAGGCTCCGTCTTTCCCTCATAGTCCTAAAATACAAATCAAGGATATAAATTATTCAAATGGCAAGCCAATACAGAAATTTGAGGCATAAAGGCATAAACAACTGCCAAAACTTTTAAAATAGAAAGTTTATCCTTCTTGCATTAACGGAAAATTGTTTATAAGTTTATGAGTTACTAATCACATCATCCAGGCACGCCAGAGTCGGGGGAGGGGGGGGGGGCTGTACATCCCTCACTTTATTTATTGCAATTGTCAAAAGTATAGTTTGACCCCAAAGCAAGCAAGCCTGATGCAAGGGAGGGGGCAACCGTCCCATGACTCAGCTGACCAAATTTACCCTGCACTTAAGATTGAAGGAAGTAAGGAGATAAGAAGAAATGTCTTGTCAGTATTTGCTAACCTTAGTAGGTCTTAACGATGACTGTATCGATTCAACTGCAACGCAACTGGGAAATTCTAGATTTCTAGGGTATAGTTCAACGATGCATTCAAAATCTTTCCCAACCTCTGCTTGCATTTCTGCTTAAGTTAAGACATTATCTGGGTTAGGTCTGCACACCACTATGTTGCTAGTCTCTAGTGATGAATCGCGAAATATGGCATTTTCATTTGTATTTATACTTGGTCAATAAAGGGACTCGAACTCAGCACTGAAAAGCTTTGGGAAACTTCCAACATATTAAAAGGGGTAACATTCATGCCTTAAAAATACGTAGCCTATAAGGACTCTGTCTAGCTCGGAGTTAGAAACCTTTGCTAATGGTCGGTTAGGTATCAATTCTGAAATCCCAGTGCGGTTAATTCAGGAAGCAAAGTCACAAAGGATTTTAAAGCAAAACATTTACACAATGTACATAAAAAATGGCTCACCCTGTACTCTACCGAGGCTGCCCTAGCTCTTTGGACGCTTGCCTTCTCCTTCTCAGCGGCCAGCTACAAAAAACGGGTTTCCAGTGAATGTAGCGATTAGAAACAAGAGGCATCAGAGTTTTTAAGTATGACGTCACAAAAACATATTATAATTATTTCTGACGATATAGCCTAATAGATATAGCTTAATATAACATCATATAACACCTATAAATGTGAAAAAACTGGTAAAAATATGTTAGAAAATAGATGAGATATGGCCAACGAAAGATTTGAAATTTGATAACGGATTACTGTCAGGGTTGCCACACTGGCCTTTTTCAGGCCAAATTTCCCAATCTTGGAGTTAAAAATGCTGGAAAATTTGCATTTGGTATAATAATCAATTTTGGCCTATTTTGGCCTATTCAAGCAGACAGTTTGGGGACGTTCCTTTGTTTTATATTAACTTAAATACCCTAAGTAACATATCTCAGCCACTGTATAACTACTGATTTTGCAAATTCAAACTCATTTCTAGACAACAAGAATGCTTCAAAGGTGGTGCCAATGTATTCTTTAAAAATAGTCCTGTTACGCAAGAACCATACTATAGCTTTACACCCTTTTCTTTATATAAGAACAATTCTATAAGAAAAAGAGCCTCAAAATTGGTCAAAATTTAAGAACAAATTAAGAACAAGCTGAGGCTTAGCTTCTGCACAATGCAATTTTGAACAACGTTTTTTCTCAAAATCGAGGATTTTTAGCCATGTGTGGGTGCTTTTTAGGTGAATATTCAAACTTGTCTCGCTCACTTTGTTAGCAAATGAGGCCTGAACACCCCATTAGAGCGAAAAAGCTCGCACTCGCACTGCTTACACCCTATTAAATTAAGAACAAAGTAAGAACAATCCAGCCTCAGATTTTCGAAAAAATTAAGAACAGTCAGCCAGCCTGAACTTAAATTTACTGGTTCTTATAAAAAAGAGTGTATAAGACGAGAGCCTTATTCTGATATTGAAACATACTTCAGGACTTTTTGTTCGACACTTAAAAACAGAGCATGTATCAAAAATTAAAGTTAAATAAATCCTGCGAATTCAATGTGCAGTCAGAGACAGATTTTAGCAACATAGATATAGGGAGAGGGCGGTTGTTAGAAAATGATTCAATTTTGGTGCCAGACAAGGAAGGTAAGGAGCTAGATAAAGTAAATTTAACACCATTCCATTACTACTGACAACCAAATTATGCTTTTTACTGAATAGAAGAAAAATTTTCCGAAGGGCACCAATTATTGGAGGAGGGAGGGAGGGTGTCTTAGGTATTCTTGCTTACTGAAAATACTGTTGACATAAAATATTTAACATCCAAATAAAATGCATGCCTTTTCAAATCTGACAAAAAGGACAATTGACATTAATTATTTTGTTATTTTTGTGTTATTTTGTAGGGATAATTTATCTCATATTTTACATATCTTCTATATTTTTACCTATATCTAATTTTTTTGTTTTTTTTTTAATGTGAACTAATATTCCTACTGGAGATCATAAATGGTCTAAATAATGATTATATTGATAATAATAAACAATTTAAGTTGGCAGAGACAATAGCGATAAGCTATTTAAGGCCATCTATTCCATAAAAAATTGGAACAAGAATGTTACAACTGCATTCAAAAGTTTTGATGGACTTAAAATACTTCTTTTAAAACTCGCTAATGGCCAGAAAATGAAAAAAGATAGCGATTCATATTAAAAAAATTTACTCTGTGAAGACAAAAAGTGCCCCGTGTGAGGATCGAACTCACGACCTTCAGATTATGAGACTGACGCGCTACCTACTGCGCTAACGAGGCAGATGAACGCCACCAGAGGGTCTCGAGCAACACATCCTTGGCTGGTGAATATCTGGAGTACCATTTATAAAACGTTTCCATAATAATTGAGATAAACAGGCAAAACAAGTTTAAGAAAAACGGTCAACTTCTTCATTGAAATTTTCTGTTACTGTAGGGTCTTGCCCCCAACACATTACACCCTAATATTTTACTACTGGCAATCTTGTTCCCTTTTTCAAAAAGTTTTTTGCGATTGAACTTTGTACTGAAATCACTTTTCGTCTCTTTTTTTATTGGCCACCATTATAAAAATAAGTTATATGGAAAATATAATTTTCCCCTTTTCGAAACCAACTGTATATTCGAACCTTGAAAAGCAGCTTTGGTGCCTTGGTGGTGCCTATCATCACTGAGGGGAATATCACTCCACAAAAATCTCGTACACCCTTGGCAAAAATTATTTTGTTTTCGAAGTCCCCCAAATTTCTTAAAAATCCTTTTCTTCTAAAAAACCTCGTAAGCTGTCTGAAAAGAGTCATACACCACTTTCTCATGGTCGCATGCATATACAATAGACTTTGGCAAGCTCGTTCAAAATTTCATCCCGAAATTCCTTCGCATTGAATTTTTATCATCTGACAGAAATTCTAATCGTAAAAATCATGGAACCAGATTCGATGGCAATGTTCACAGGAACTTAAGCAAAAATCTTCCGTGAAAAACAATAAGGTTTGGGCGTGTTATGGGAGTGGTTGCTCAATTTCTTGTATTTTCAATAACTTTCCAAACAGCTGTTGATCTCGTGACCGTCATTTTTTCTTGACTTTCTACTCAGTTTATCACAATTAAATGACTTAAATTAATATTTTATATGACAATCATTTCAAATTAAATGTACCTCCAGGTCTGTCATTTTTTATGATTTTCGACGGAAACTGAAATCAGTGTTGATAAAGAGCGCTTTCCCCCTTTTTTTATAAGATAGTATTTTACTAGAAAGTTATGCTCGGTTCTTCAAAAAGATAAATAAGTTCAGAGCTGGAGGGATCTTTGCAACGAAGGAAATATGAAAATTTAGTTAAAGAAAATATCCGTGCAAAAGTGAAATATTTCTTTTTTCCACAATAATGTGCTGAACAGGAAATTCCTTAGGTGCGAAGACGTGTTGGGATAGAAATGGGTTTTCTTCGATAGCTGGTGTTATGACGTTGAGGGTGTTTGTAGAAACATACCATTTATAAAACCTTTTTATTTTCACAATCACTTCGCATGCAAAGTAACGTAAAACTTTTCAATTTTACGTTGAGAGAGTGTTAAGAAGCTTTAGTGCTGAAATCAGGAAATAGCTAGGAAAGTCTGAAGGGTGCGCTAAAAAAAAGCTGTCATGAAGAAAATGTGTACACAGACGGAGTGCCTATTGTTTCCTTTCCTTGTGCAAGAAAATGTGAATAACGTGTCTTACAGAATCTAACAAGCACGCAAAACAATCTCCCCCGGTAATTTTCTATTTAACCATCTTAAAGTGCTAACATACTGTGTAAACTTGTCCTGAAATAGCGGATATCGGCTTAATATAAATTCCTACCAAAATATTTTGATAAATAAACATGCTTTAGATAAATTATATAATGCTTTATTACATAAAATCAGCCTCGAATGAGCAAATACATAAGATGATGCATATTTCAATAAAATTGCATAACAAAAATTCAAACTCACGCGTTGTGCTTTTTGTAACTTGCCCAGGACATCAGAGAAATTGTCTCTTAACTTTTCTTGTTGTAATTTTCGTTGTTTCTGTTGAAAAAGTAAATAAATTCACGAAACTTTAAGTCATAAAAACATTCACTTAAAATAATTCGCCGATTTGTTGAAATACTTCAGCTGTATTTCCCACCACTTTATAAACTCCTAACTATTTCGATTCTATTTCTCTTAAGATCTTTGCAGCACTGACAGATCAAAAGGGAGATGGGATAGCAATCGTTCATGAGAGACTGCATCCGTTTTCATTCTCTTCCCCAACATATCGTTGTTGGTGTGATTTAAGGAAAATCTGAATGGTAGTTATTGGCTTCAAAACAACAAAAGTTTGAGAGAAGGAGGGGCATTAAAATTAGTGTTCTTTATTTGAAATTTAAAATATTTTTAAAGATATAGTGGAACTGTGGAAAATTACATCAATTGAAACAGCCCTCGATTTTTTTTACGATTGATGATTCAGATCTCCATAAAACACACAGATACATATTTTTGGTACCACAAGATTTGATGATGGCACGAGGAAAAATTGCTATGTTATCCTTCAATTATGCTACATATTTCGTGCCATCTTCAGGTATATATATATAGTATATATATATATCTATAGAAGTCTGTGCTTTTCGAAAAAGTTTGCTTCTGAAAAACTGTAAGGTAATGATTAAAGTTCTGGCACAAGTTGTACAAAATGTCAAAGATAAGCCAACTAACGCAATCGAATGATCTAGCAAGGTTAGGCAATTGGTGCCTCGAATGTTTTCAGAGAGTTTAAAGGGCGTGGCGACAAAAAATCCCTCCCTTGCGATGGTTTTCCAAATATGAGGGCTGTTTATCAATGAGGGCTGTTTTCTGTTGTGAAATGAAATTTTGGTTTCAAGGCAAAATATATAAGCCATGGTATGAGACTTTTTACTGTTGGTGACATACAATCTGCCACAGACGGAATAAGTTGTGACTGTGCTCCCCACTTTAATCACCATTGAACAATTGGTCATCAAACACGTTTCCCCATGCACAAGACTGTTTAAAAGAGACCAAAGCGTTCATTTAGAATGAGGAACAACAGCTGATAAACAATATATTTGATTTCTGCAAAAGGCGTGCAACTTGAATCTTAATCGAGGCCATACTTTCAAAACGCTTCTCGATGAAAAAACACGGAAAGAAACAATGGAAGAATACACAGATACTGTATGTTTAGAATGACTAAGCTTAGTATCTCTTTATATCGCAACCTCGTCATCCCCTTTCATTCCTTTCTTACTTCTTTTCTTCTTCCGATTTCTCTTATATCTTAATGTTCATTCCCTTAAACGCTCCATTGCATCCTTCGTCATACTTCACTTTCCATGAAGTACCCCAGTTTGCAGAACAAGAGCTCAGGCTACCTTCCTGTCCTCGATCAGATTGTAGAAGAAATAACGGAAACATGGAATTCAAAGGTCCAGTACAGTAGTGTCCCGCATATAAGAAACATAATTTTAAGAAACACAGACCCTGATTTTAAAAAAAATAACCCTTTTGTCAAGGTCTGAAAAAATTCTTGTTTCTTATTCAAAAATTTTCACATAACCTAATCCTTTGAAAAACAGAACAAAACATTTATCATTCTACACTTACTATTTTGTCAGTTATTTAAATAAAAGGATAAGTGAGGGTTTACAATATTTGACCATAAGAACTGTTTGTTATCAGCTTTGCAATTTAATCAAACTGAGCCTGGTCAAATGAAAAAGATTTTTGAATGAAAACTAAGCAAAAATCACCTTTCTGGAATAATTGTAGCTTTTCCTAAAAGTGAAAAACTACAAATACAACTCAAAATATTATGGTATTTTTATCACAATCATTGGGATGGTGTCTGACTAGATGATCAATAGTATAATATGGTTTTTCGTATAAGAACATTACCCTGATTTTAAGTGTGTATCTCATTTTATAAAAACGCACCAGACCTGAAATCGAGAAAATTGTTTCTTATACGCGGGACACTACTGTATATTCAAATTGAGCTCTTGTGGTACTTGACCTTCTACAAGCAAGACTTTTTACAACTTAGATACAGAACACAAATGTGCCGTAAAAGACTATAATTTTACTAAAATGTCCTTAACCTGCTTATTTTTTCTTTTAAACTTATGCCCAAAACGTGGATAGACCTTAACTATTTAGATATCAGCTGAAACATATTAGGGATTGGAATTTTACTCTGGATGGGAAACTCTGGAAACTCTTTCGACTTATATTTTGCAGATTGTGAATTATTTGGTAAGACAGGGCATTTTCCAAATTTTAAGCTGATCTTCAAAAGAACAGAAGCTAAGAAGCTTGGGAATCTCGAAAATTATAATACACTATAGAAAATAAGAGAGATATAAAGACTCTAATCTTCAATGCATACTTGGCAAGGTTTCAATTTTTGGCAAAAAATGAGCATAAGATCATAACAGGACTAAGCGGGAAGTAGGACCATGTAAAAGGGTTTATTTTAAAGAATTTTTATTGCTGCACATTTTCAAAATTTTCAAAAATTTGGGTGTTGTCTTTTGAAAATGTTTATGACCAAACCTATCGAACTAACTGTAAGTAAAATTATCGAATTACGCCAGCTTTCACCTAAGATTTGCAAGAGATTTTGACGAGGAGAAGTGATCAAAAACAAAGATTTTAAAGGAGAAGTGAATAACAAAACAAACTAGGCAGCTTCTAGATACTGAATTCGATAAATCTTAGAGAGATTTCATAGATTATGATCACTTTTACTGTTCACCTCTTTAATATTGTTATGCTCTTTTATAAGCTTTATGTGTCTACTGGTAGTTGCTGCAATTTTACTTTTTCACTACCGAATCTCTTTTTTTATTATTATCACAGAACAAAATTTGAGCTTATCACTTCACCATTACGATTTATCACTGCACAAATTGGTTATCACTGCACGTGAAAATATATCCTGCGGCATGAAACTTTCAAACTTATTAGCAAAAAATCATAAAAAAAATTTCCAGAGCATCTCCCGCCATTTATTGAAAACATTTATTGAATTGGATTGAAGAGCAGCATTTCATCAAGTGAGAAATGGAGTGGTGGCATCCCCGACAGGCGAGACCTTAAATGGACATTCCTCAGGTCCTGTTCATCCTGAGGTGAGCTACGGTTTGCTGGTCAATCGGGTTGACTCACTTTGCGAGATCTCACTGGTAATAAGCGATTGATTATTGCGTTTATATCACTGTGAGCCAGCTTGAAATTGTGGTTCAAACTGCCTAGATCTCGCTTACAAAGGATAAATATTTTCAATTTAAAACACGCAAGAGGGATGATCCAGTTAGCAAGGATGATTTTACTTGAAGTGCGCATGCGCAATTATGAAGTATATTAAATCACGTGTGAAAAAAAACACACTCAGTAGGGCCAACCAGGCTAGCTCATTAAATGTACACACGAGATAAAAAAACACTGTTCCTAAAAAGCAAACCAGCCCTTAACCAGACAAGCTCACATCATAAAAAACCGTGCTTTCCTATGAACTATCAAATGCCCAAGGTAAACCTCTACCGCAAGGAAACATTTCAGTGCTAAATTACTACGAAGGATGCTTGGCAATTCCCTTAAATGGGGAGAACCGAAATGACAATTCCCCATAACACAGCTGTTCACCAATTTATATTTAACTATAATATCGCTCTATCGACCTCCTAATTCCAGAACAACGACATCTTCAGTAGGAATCGCGTTACCGCAGTTTTAAGGACGTTTTAATTATTCAATAGCAATTGCGAAATGTCTGGTAATTTTAACATCAATCTCAGTAGCACAACATACCTGTTCCTGGGGAGTTCCACTCTCGATAAACCCAAGCTGCTTTAAATAATTAGCAGTTTCTTTCGCAATTCTGTGTGCATCCATCTGCTTTTCTTGCCTGTGCAGAAAGAATTAAATTTCAGTGCAAAATCTTGGTGTTTTGTATGAAAAAACATAAAGAAAATAGGTTAAAAAAATTAAACATATTTACAAAATATTTCATAAAAGCGTAAAAAGTATGTTTCCTAGCTGATGGTGTTTATTGTAAGAAAGTTAGTCCCAATTCGATGATAATTTCGATCCATATTGGAAGGCTATTTGTTTACAAATGAACACTGATCAAAACATTAACAGTGAAAAGCGGGCTGCGACTACTTAACCTTAAAAGGAGTTTACTATACCTTAAAAGGAGTTTACAAGATATGGAGTTAAAATAAGAGACACTGACACTTAATAAAATTTGATGTACACAAATGCGCTTTGACGCTTTTTGGACTTCGTCGTAATTTTTTGACTTCCTCGAGAGGCCATCTTAACTTGTCCTATCAAAATGTTTTGTACCTTTTAATCTCTTAATACAAACTACAATGCTTGCGAAAAGTCTTGGTACACTGAGCTCAAAAGCACCTCCTTCTCTCTATTGAAACAGTGCTGAATAACAACCGTTTCATAGCTTGAAATACAAACAATGTAACTATATCAGCTAGGGTAAGTAAGAGGCTTTCGTTTCGAAATAACATTGTTTTTTGGGGGGAGGGACCTTTTTTATTTTTTTTATACACAGTATAAAAAGTATACATTTTACAAGAATACAAAATATGATGCCAATGGGAGCGCATGATAGGCATGGCTACCCATTGACCTTAACAAAAAACAATATAGTAGCACCAAAGGCTATATCAAAATCCTGTTTAGAACGTGCGGATAGCTGGTTGGATCAAAAGACAAAGGACTTTTGGCAAGGATTGTACCAATTTCCAATCAATGGTTCGAATGCAAACTTTACCGACATGTCAATAGAGATGGTTTACCAAAGAAAATAATTTAGACATGGATTTTTACTGTGTGTGAACTACCATCCGCTGCCATTAAATAATATTCAAATAAAGCCAATTTCCATTTCTCCATATCTGAGCATAACCACATATAATAAACGTAAAAAATGGACAACAGGGTAATAAGTGCCGCATGCTATCTCGTTGGGTTGTGTCAAATGTTTTGGGGCAATCTCCCATTGTGTATTGTTTTTCTACGTTGCATTGTGCCGTATCGCATTGCTTGGTGCGGTAAATATCGCATTGAGTTGTATCATTTTGGGCTGTGTTGCGTCCTCTCGCATAATGCTGTGTTGTTCTATTGTACTCTATTTCGTTATGTTTGGAATGTTAAAAAGCGGTATATGATGTTAAGAAGTACTGCATTGTGTTGTGTTCAGAAATGTCAAAGAGGAAGAGCTGCCTCTGAGGTAGACAGGTTTTGTTGGAGAATTTACATTAACAATCCCATTATAAATCTTGCTATATCTTTTTCTCAATTCATTGCGAGAAACTTCCGGATATTCTTCTTTCATTGGAAAGTCCGGAAGCAGTTAGCATCTGCAAAGACTTTGATTCAAGTCATGGATACAGCAACGAGGATTCAAGTCAGAACGAGGATACAAGTTAGAACGAGGATACAGCGACAGAGCAGAGTAGAACAGGATAATGCATAGCGGAAATGAATAGAATCGAATGAAGTGAAGAATACAGTACAGAACGAAGAGAATAAAGAATGGAACAAATGGAATGATGTAGATTAGAAGAAAGAGAAAATAGAAAAAAGGAAAATAATGGAATGAAAGAAGGAATTAACATGAAAAGAAACAAAGGAATCAAGTTAAATAAAACATAATAAAACGAACAGAAAAGTGAACAAAAAATAAAATAGATCAAGGGAAAATGAACTGATTCAAAAAAGATTCATATTATCTACCTGCAAAAAAGTAATAAATAATTAACACTAACTAGCAATTTAATTACTTAAAATATCCACAAATATACAAACAAAAGTTTGGGTGTATGCCCTTTACTAACAGAGATATCAACATTGGGCTGGGGAGAGGGGGAAGGGAATTTTCAACATCACCTGCTCAAGATTGTATATATGTCCTATACTACACACCAAAGAAGAAGATTGGAAGGCAAAAGAGTGAAGAAAAAGTATCCTTACAAATCTTCCAGAAGCTCAGGAACATCACTTGAAGTTCCTATTTTGTTTGTCAAGCGCTGGATGGCAGCAACTGAAAAGAAGTTTGAGCAAAATACTAACTCTGTATATGAAAAGGTTTATATTGGCTGGTTTTATTTAGGGCCGTAGTGACAACTATATTACTCAACCTTGTCTGTTTACCAAACCAAATTTTTGCTTACTATGGTTAATTGTTATGTTGGAGCTGCATGTTTGTATCCTAACTGCAGTGTGATCCACACTTGAGCATTTTTGATGCATGAACTGTCCTAGAAATCTCTACCCTTTAAATATGCAAAACCTTTTGACCTATGTGCTTAATAATTATGTGCATACGGGCTCTAATTGCCTACTCATCCCAACTAGGGACTTGACTTAACTTGACTTAAAACCTTGAAAATCAAGCCTTATGGGGATAAATTTTGTGGACATAAGACATTTAGTTTTCTATAAGCAAAAAAAATTATTATTTTTGCACTGGCCAATACTAAGGCATTTGAGACTGCTCATGTGTTAAAACAGAAACCAACCAAGCATAAGTGCAAACGACTTTAATTCAAAACAGTATAACAGGCCTGGCCATTTGAGGAGAGCCATAGCTCTTGCTCCCCTCCAGGCTCTCCTCAAACGCTGGAGGGGAGCTAGAGATTGCTCTCCTAAATTGTTCTAAAAAGCAAATTTGCTCTCCTTGAAATCAATTTTTCCTTTGTTTCTATTCTTATAGCTCACCTGAATACTTATAGGAGAGCTGTTTGCTGCTCCCCTGTTAAAAGTCTTACGGCCAGGCCTGGTATAAGTACCTAGAAGTTACCATAGAGTAGCTCAAATTCTTACAAAGTATTCAGAGTTTACTGATATAAGTGATTCCAATTACATGCCAAATGACAAGTGTGAACACAAAACCTGACATGTTTTTGGAATATTTAATATTTCATTTCTCAGTTTTAACCAAGAAAACGACTTGTCAAGTTTTCCAGGGTTCAATGGGAATTAACTTTTCAAGCATTTGTTGTGTAATTGTGTAATGTTGTGTATTTAATAGTAGTCAAATGAGATTGTTGTGGTTGTTGTGGTTATGTGGAGAACAACATGACATTTGTTTTAAAAAGGTTTAAAATTCTTGACTATATGCTGTGGTTCAATCCAGAAGCATCCTGATATACAAAGAGCAGGATCTAACAGCATTGATGTTATAATACTTTCTTCGTGTAAACTTCTCACAATCTTCTCCATATCAGAATAATAAGGTAATATAAGATAATATAAGAAAAATTTGAAAATTTATACAAAGAAGGTACCAAAATAGAGACAAAATTTTCATTTTATATATCAATTAATATTGCTTGCTAGAACATATTGTAAACATACCATTTTTTGTCATAGACTGAACATTATTGCTCACAGCATTTGACAATCTGATGTACTCACTGTCTCCCTCTTGGTAGCCTGGTACAAAGAAATTGAAGGTACACAAATCAGATTCAAAAGTGGCTATATTTGAATCCATTTAAGTCATACACAGATACTAAGTCTGACTTCTAATAAGTTAGGCAGATTCTCAATCAGTGGCAGACACTTGGGAGGGTGACCGGCCCCCCCCCCCAATACTTTAGAGGACAATGGTCTATTATTCTAAAACTATGGGAAATGTGATGTCATCTTATTAAAACAATAGGCTTGCCCCCCCCCCCCCCAATATTTGATCAAGTGTCTGCCCCTGTTTTCAATTCCCATGGATTTTCCTACTGACCCTTCACTGGATTTTCATTGAATTTTCTGATCTATATTGTCCTATTTTATTCCATTCAACAGTATCTTTACTGTAGTCTTTTCCATTGAACTATTTTCTGTCTATCTTTTGTGCCTGGAACAGAGGAAATTTTTCAGTTTATTTTAATTCTATTCATTTCTGCTATGCCTTTTTCCGATCATTCAGTTTCTGTTATTCTTGAGCCGTTCCTATTGCCACTGTCCACACAGTTTTGACCAAATCGAAAACAAAGGTTTTCCCATTACTCTGTTTTGTCCGTTTTCATATCCTTTTTCGAGCTCATCTTGAAACTGAAGACGAACAAAAATTCGTTTTTGATTGACTCTGTTTTAGATTTTCTCATTAAAACAATTCGTTTTTACATAACACCGTCCTCCAATGACTTTGTTTTTGCTTTTCCTATTAAAATGATTCATTTTCAAACGACTCTCTTTTCGGTTGATAACTTTGAACATCATTATCAAATGTTTTCGTTTTTGAGATATCAATGGGAACCCAAAATCAGAAACAATTCATTCAGCTCTGTTTTCCTACAAAAATGGAGTAATAAGAACAGAGCCTGATTTTCAATGGACTAACACATTATTAATTGCCCTTTTGACATTTGTTGGTTAAACAGTGCCTTTTTTATTTGCTAAAGCTATTTTTGTCTGTTTTCTCTTTAACTTTGCTGAACAGAACTGAAACCTCTCTATGTCGCAAGTACCCTTCATGATAACTCGTCAGGGAAACATGAACATAACTTTACAATGTGTAGCATTCAGTTAATCTATTAAATGTTTGTCACGTTTAATGATTCAATAGAAAAATCTTTGTTGCTCTGTGTTAACAATTAAATTTGACTCGCACACCCCACTCATATCATGAGAGTTTTTGGCTGTGAATGTTGATTTCTGAATGTGAAAGCCCTGTAAGTTGGATCATTTCCTTACACTTCTTGAAGGTCATTACCATCAACTGTCCAATGACATTCACCTGAATATGAATGTTAAGCAACAAATAGTTACCAGATTACTATTATTTGATTCTGGTGTATGTTTACCAGGCCTAATTTGCTGCTCCACTACAGAAACTTAAATCCATTGTAATTTTGTCCCACAACTGGTAGAGCCCTTTGACTCAGTATCTATTATTTTTTCTAACAATGTACTCAAAGGATGGGCCCCTTTGGAGCTAACCAATTCTTATCTCTGATCTGTAAGCCTGATCAGCTTTATTTCTAACCAGTGGCGTCGCTTGAACTTCCAGACTAGGAGGTTACAGACAGACAATAGATAAAGAAGAATTTAGGTGTTATTTCACCTACTGATAGATGTTTTTACCAACAAACTAAGGATTTTGTAGACAAACTGAAGATTTACTAACTTAATGAAGTATTAGGGGGTATTACACCCCTTACACCCCAGCTAGCTAAGCCCCTGTTTCTAACATATCCACACATTTAAAGCTTACTGGGAATCATGCTGAGGTGAACAAAAATGCCCACCAACCAGGGGCGGCGTGGGGTGGTATTAAAGGTATTAGTCTAATACCATTTTATTTTCAAAGGAAGGCGACTTTGGGTCTCTGAGATTGCAGGAAATTTATTTTGCTTTTTGTACGCTGCCACTTTTTCACAACAATTTTATCGATGCGACCAGCTCTATTCATATAGCCAAGCTATATTTGCTTTTCTGTTCGTTGAATGAAAGCTTTCCTAATCCTCATTGAAATCTTTGAAAAGTGTAATCCATGCCGTAATCAGCAGCCCTGGCCATGGTATTAGCCTCCAAAAACTAATACACTGCCCCGAAATTTCTTTTGTCTGTTGTGGTCTGCATGACGTGAATTTCTCTTGTTGAGCCATGGTAGAAGAATGGGTGAACAGCAGTAAGGTATTAGTTTTTCATTTCTAATACTACGAGGGCCACTGTCAGTGGAAGGGACGGTGGAAAGAGCCCCAGCTCTATTCTAAGGCCTCAGCTTATAGAAAAAATATTTCTGGAAATTAACTTTATGAATTTACAAAATGTAGCTGTACTTTTGCTAGCAATGCCTTTGGATGGATAATTTGATTGACAAAATTTAGACACTGAATATAAAGAGCAACAGTCATGAAATAATTTGTTTAAGCTAAAGGCAGTTGTAAAAGTTGTTTTGTATGAACTGTATGTTTTGTAAAACTTTGATTCTATATGATTGTAGAGTCACAGGCAACATTCTCACATTATTTCTCTCGGTTTCTCAAATCAAATGATACATCTTACGTTTTTTGCTGCATTACTCTAAAGTAAATCGCTCGCTTTATCGTAATAGAATCTCATTCGCGGGCCAAAAGCCTCATGGTATTAGAATTAATGGGCTAATACCTTGGGGCTCCATTACTGGGCAGCAAACCGCTGTATCAAAACACGATTTCGCTCGAGTAATTTGCCGCAGCCATAATTCATTTGTATTTCGTAGGACCGATCCTTCACCCAAAACTAGTAGGATGAACTACATTACCACAGGTTCATCAGTGTCTGGGGGGAGACAACGGGGGCCAGTGCCTTCAAATAATTTTGTAAGATATGGTATTGCCAAAAGCTATTTTAAACCATCATATCGAAAAGGTCATTTTGCCCACCTTCTTAAATAAGAACATATAAGCTCCACCCCTGTTAAATAGTTTCAGGATCTAGGGAGGGGAACTTCTTATGTCTTAATTTCGGAGGCTAATACCAATATTTTTCTACTCCCAGCCGCCCCTGCCACCAACACATCAATATATGGTAAAATTGCTACAAATTACTGCAAAGGTTCAATAATATATATTTTTACTATAGCCTTCAGGTGGATTAACTTTAATGATCATTCAAGAAAATGTTCCCGATGCATTTGTGTGACTTTTGTATGCAAAGGGATTTCTTTTAATTCTGTGAGAACACTGGAAAGGTTTGATACCCTGCAACTTATAAAATAATACTATTTCATTGTCCACACCAAAATGGTACTAAGTTTGTATCTCCACACCAAAATACGCTATCTCAGTACGGCCTAGCTATGAAACAACCATGAGTAAATAATCTTTTTAGCTGTTATTTCAAATATTTTCAGAAAGAAAGCTCTGTAAAATACCTGGCTTGTAGTAATTTGTAGAAGAGCCAAAGTCTCCCCTTGACATGATTGTATCTTAAAGTTGACAAAAAAGTAGAGTCTGAAAAATAATATTTATTATATATATATATATATATATATGAATAAAATGATGGATGTCATAATACCAAGAAAACAATATGACCTGACTTGAAAGTCCTCAAAGAAATATATTGATTACAAAGGCATAACAAATAATACCAGGCATTGCATATGCATGATCAGAATAAAAGTTCAGTTGCAGCTTCATTCCTAAGGAGTGTAGTTAGAAAATAGATGCTGAGGATACAGTGAATGCCAACCAAAAAGGCTGCTTCATTTTGCATTTTATTGTGTTATTCTTAGTGTTTTTTTGTTTTCTAATAGAACCTGGTGGTTTAGTCCAACTTCAGATATTAAGGCAAAAACATCCTTGCAATTATGATTCATAAATCCGAATTTTTCGGTCATACCAACAAAATTATTTGCCAAAATTTCATAACCAGAATGAACCAAAGAAAGGCATATGCCACTGCAGAGTAAGACATATGCACATAAAGTATTGCACATATAAGAAATTCCTGCCTGCAAATCTCCTTTGTTCTTGTAAAATCATCTATATTTTTTTTATTTTCTTGTTCTCTATTTCTATCATTGTATGTAATTTATTTCATCTTTTGTAACCTGCTGCTGTATTTTAAAAGATTTGTATGTATGGATTTTAAAAAATGAAATGAACTGAACTGAACTGAACTATTTATGCATACTTGCCATGCTCTATACAGACTGGTTCTGTCTTCATTTTTCCATCGAAGACCTAATTTAGGGCGTGGTACAAAAAGATGTTGATGCAGTAATTTCGACCTTAAGTTACTCCCAGTCCATGAGAAATTATCTTAAGAACAGTTGATCTGTTTCACTGCCTCATATACTGTATGTTCTATGTAGTTACTTACCGTTCTGGTTCACTGTCTATATCGTTGATTTATAACTTGGGCCTAACGTAATGTTGTTGTCGTCATCAGCAGATTAGAAGACGCTGCAACTTTCACGCGTTATTGCACTGCTTTCAACTCTTCGATAAAAGAACCTTTTCATCAGTTTGCAGGATTTTACTTCTTTCAATGGCCTTTCCCCTTTCGATCAGTTCTATTGCCAAAACGATTAATATCTCTCGCAATTTCAATGTCAAATGAAATCAGAGTCTGAGAATGAAACTTCCATGAAGCAACCACAACAGCATGAAACCTATTGGAATGGCTCCTTCGCAGTACATTTTGACCATAGAGATAGAGATAGGATCACTCTAGTGTTTTTGACAAGCTCTACCTGACTATCTCTATGATTTTGACAAGCTCCTATCTCTATGTTGACAAGGCATACTTGACTCTTGTTCAAAGGGATAGGAGCGGAGCCAGTGGCGTCGCCACGGGGCGGACTGGGGTGGGCATGCCTACCACAGTTTTCCCAGAAGTCGATTTTAAAATTTCTCGAAATCCGTCGAAAAACCTTGGGGGGGGGGGGGGGGGGGAAGTGAGTTTGGCTGACCAGATCAATGTCGAATTTCGCACCTGGCAAAAAAGCCACCTTAAGAAAAATACTGCTTGAGAAAGTTGCTTATCCAAAAATTTCAAATAAATAAAACATGCTGAGAAAAGCATTTTCCAAGAGTCTGAAGGGCGTGGCCAGAAAATTTGTTTTTGTCCACCCCAGTTTTCTCGAGTCGGCGACACCACTGAGCGTCAGCGAAACAGGTGCAAAACCTTCTGAGACCACATTTAGGTAAACGCCTATCCATTACTTAATTGTAACGCCTCGCTGAATCATCTTTGCTTTTTATGCTAACTTTCGAATTAATTTATTCATTTAAAATGGGTCCCCACCCCCCCCCCTTCTCCTTTATGGCTGTTTTTCGGAAATTCTAAATGCATGTCGGAAAATACTAGGGCTCTCAACAAGTCACATCGCAACGACTGGCTGACGATAATCATCTTGGCTTTTCATATCTTTTTGCTAGCAATTTCGCTTAATCGAATATTCTATATAGCATTGTCTGAAAATAGCCAAAGTTGGTCCTTGCGGAATAATTTAATGGTCCTTTGTAACAACACCTTGAGAGGAAATATATCTGCATCTAAAATATAGCAAATTGGGTTGTATAGTAGGCCACTAGACCTTTACCTAGCAAGTGGGACATCACAAGTATATACGCATGCGCAACATCAATTCATCATTGAAGTAGATATGTTGTTTGATATATTATCATCCCCACCCCCACCCCCACCCCCCTATATATCACTACTGGTGTCGGCCCTGAATGTAGCACTTTGGTTCAAGTTAGATCTAATGAAGAAAATCTTACAAAGGTGTGTTGTCATTTTGAGTCAATCTAGTAGGCATGGCCACAAAAAAATTTCTCTTGACCAAAAAAAGAAATTTAGTGTTCTTGGAAAATACTCTTAGTTTAGGCCAGAGGTGGCGCCAGAAATCTTCCGACAGATGGGCTGGAGCTTCCGACAGGGGGCTTAAATGACTAAAATACGCAGTTTTCGTACGTTATTTTGTCAAATTAGCTCCGACAATAACCTAAAATTTCCTCCGATGGGGGTGGGGGCTAGATGCTTCCGACGGAGGGGCTGTAGCCCCCTAGCCCTCCCCTGGCGCCACCACTGGTTTAGGCACCGACCCAATGAGATCAGGAGTAGCGAATTGTGCTAAAAACGTAGCGAGAATTCGCTGATGAGGGGACCTACTTGGATACTCTCGGATTGAAGATTTACATACTATCAAAGCCAACTTTATATTATTATCATTAATATAATATATTCCGTTGTGTGCACTGTCAATATCGTCGATACATAACTTAGGACTAACGTTACTAGTATTATTCCGTTGTAAAATCAACGATCAGTATTTCAGCTCTGGGCTTGAAACTTCAAGGCTAGTGGAACTGACTTAAAATTGCATCGTGATTGAAATGAAACAAATTTCTTAAAAAGCACCATAGAATCACGATGCTTTGCTTTTCTTGAAGACGATAAGAAAGGGATATTAGATGGCTGTATACAGGTGTGGTTTGTTTGGAGCGACAATCAATAGTACGCGTATTTGTAGTCATCTATACACAGCAATAGGCCAAGATAGGAGCCTGGTGGAACAGCACTTGAAGTTTCAATTGGCAGTTACCTCCAAGTAATTGATGAAGCCATTTATAGAGGAAAAATCGTTTTCCTCTTTATAGGGTCTTAAGACAAGGAAAGAAAAAACAGCAGACAAGATGTTAGTTCTTTAAATAACCCATTGTAAACACAGGTAGTAACGATGCATCAACGATTGTAAAGAAATCTTCTACGAAATAATAAATGAACTAGGTGTGTGAAAAATACAGAAATTATGCAGAGGTAATTCTTTATTTGTTAGCATCAAAGGGCATAAATACTTCAGAAATAGCAGGTCAAGTCATGGTTTTCTTGCATTATTGCATAAGGGACAGCAGCTTGGTATGTAGCATAACTTTGATGTCAAAATCAACAGTACAAAAGCAACGGAAGCTGAAATTGTTAGGAGTACCATTTTGCAATGTTTGCCAATCCTTATCTCACACGGGCATAGATAGGGTAAATTTATGAAAATTACAGTATCCTGCCTTAGTTAAGGTGTATTTTTTTTAAAATTGGAAAGCATACTGGCATCCTTACTAATAATAGAGGAGGAAAATGGAGCTTTTATTTGGGAATCAACAAATCACAGTTATCGGAAAATTCTCATTTCGCTTTTTAATATTTGATGTAAAGACTACACATTGAAGAGGACACATGGACTGTAAGTTAGAGTCTAAAATTCAAATTAAAAGATTAGAGAATGGTGTACAACTGACCTTAACTTCTTATTGGCAAATATGAAGCCTAAAAAGAATAACTGTAATACAAAAATACTCTTCTAAAATTTACAATCATTCAACATAACTAATTCAAGTAAATTATCCCTTCAGAAGATATAAATCAAGTGCAGATCACACTTTGATAACCAACTTGGTAAAATCTGTCTTCTTGAATTTTAATATTAAGGGATGAAACTGGTATTTTTCTTAAATTTAAAGCTTGAAAAAATTTTCCATCTTTCATTGAAGCTTAAAAACACCAAGTGAGAAGCAAAATGATAAGTTAGTCTGGGATGAACAAGTAAACCTGATAAAGAAAATATGACTATTTTAACTGTGTTGAAAAACTAATGTAAAAGGGCCTATATACACTAATAAATTAACAAAATAATGGTAAAAATATCAATAGTTTAGTCTAAATAACACGAATTAGCTGCAATAATTGGCAACTCAGCTAAATTGGATTATCAGGATCCAGAAAAATTTCAATTTGAGGTGCATTATAGAGTCAATGAAATCAAAACCAGAATTTGCTTTGTGTGACCTGGAATGCATCTTACCAGAAGGTTATTGACATTTTTTCATGTGACGCTTATTCCAACAAAAAGTAATTCACTTTGCAACATCTCAATGCAAGATTGCACTATAGGAATAGACAATGATGGTACTTCATCAAAATCCTTAGGGAAAACAACAATTTTTCTGGATTCTAATAATGCATGGTCATAACATACTGTTAAACAGCTTTTTATTCCTGATGAACTAAAATATAAAACACTAGAAACAGTTATTTCAAGGCTGGTTTTTAGCTGGCAGGAACCTGTCTATTTTGTCTTACTCTGGAAAGAACATTTAGGAACCGTTGGATAATTGTCACTCTGTCTCCAAGAGATTGTGACTTAAACATCATTAATTTTGCTTTATCGTTCAATGGCAAGGCTGATGCAGCCCACCAGACCCACGATTCACCATTTGGAGAGTCCAGTGCATCTGGCTGTTCTAATGGTATTGGACCTAATGCATTTGTTATACATTCCCTTTCAGAAGGATGAAGATTACCAATATATGTCGACAGAGTATCATATGTTGCTTTGCATTTGTTTATCAACTGTTCACAAGCAATCTCTGATCGGTATAGAGAAGTATCATCATCAAAATATTCGACCTTTCCGTATGATATGCCATTCTTTTTGCTCTTACCAACAACCTTGAATCGTCTTCCTCCAACTGTGTCAATAACAGATCTTCCATCTGGTAAGTAACGGACATGTCTCACTTCCATAACTGTCCCAAAATCTATATGGTCACCTTCATTGTTACTTTGACACATTCCAAACTTTTTTGAGCCTGACTGCATGCACTCTCTAAACATTTTTCTATACCTTGGTTCAAAAATGTGCAATGGACATTGGATGGTTGGAAATGCTAAAGTACAGTCAAAGATAGGCACTGGTACATCTTCATCTTCTCCAACCCTGAAAATGAAACATGAACTCATTCATCATTTAGTCACGTACCATTTGCACAACAATTTCTTTAGATCCAAAACAAAAACCCAGCTTGAGAATCTAGTTAGGTTATTTGGCTTTAAGCATCAACAATACAAGAAAAACAGAAAACCCTAAAGAAACTATGTTAAGTTCAGTTTAATTCCTACCTCTAAATTTCATTTGAGAGGAACACAATTAATGCCTAGCCCCACTTGAAAAAAGTATATTACCTGAGGTCAAGTAATTAATATTCTTGTCTTTTAAACCACTTCAATACAACTTAAGTTACCATTTTTTTATATCTATAAACCCATTAAATTTCTGGTCTTGTTTTGAAAAATAATTGTAAAGTTAAGACTTTAGAAAGATTTGATGTTGATTTGTGACTACTGCCGAGAAGTTTTTACCTTGACAAACATCTTTATTGTCAACAACAAATATAAATTTTCTTCTTTACTTTTTTCTAAGATAAATGGCATATACACAAGCATCGTGAAAAAATTGCATGTGGCATCATGAAACAAGTAAGGCATATTAGCTTGAAATTAAAACCTTTCATCCATTTTTAAACCAATCGTGTCAAAAAGAGAAGGAAATCAAACAAACCTGGCCATTAGACTCATGTGCTCTTCGTGCTTGTTTTTTCTTTCTTCTATTTCATCTGGGAAATAGTATTCAATAGCTCTTTGTATAACTTCAGTGACATTACCAACACCAGTAGTCTCGTTAAATGAAATATTACGCCTACAAATTGGGCATGCTGGATTGTAATCAATGCAGGTTTCCAAGCAATTCCTGCAAAAAACATGTCCACAAGCTGTAGTCACTGGATGGAACAGTATAAAAAAGCAAAGTTTGCATTCAAAATCGTCTAGCTGTGGTTCTGTTGTTTCTTTCCCTATTTTTGCTTTCTTTTCCACTACTCTAGATATCTTGGTTGGTTCTGGTGAAAGACTGTGAGAGCGTTTGATTGAAGATGAACTGCATGGCTTGTCAGATTTAGTCGAGGATGGAATTGTGCATTGTTTCTCTACTGTGAGGTCCCTACAATTATCTTCAGTGGCTGTTTTTTGTTTTTCCTCCAATAAATATTTTTCATCTTCTTTATCACAAGTAGCTAAATCTAAATTTATTTTTTCCACATCACAGCTAGCAATTTCTTTGCCATTATCACATGTAAACTTTAATTCCTGAGGTGAGACATTTTGACATGGATCTAAATGACTGCTTTCTTTGTTAGAGGGGCCATCTTGATCTTCCACTGTGCAATCACCACGAATATCGTTTTCTTTGCTACTTTCACCTCCTTCATCTTCACTGACCTCAATCTCCTGACCCGGGCTTCTGGTCAACAACTGATCTAGACTGTCACAGACTTTTGTATTTAATTCCCCATCTTCGGGTTCTAATTCTAAGCAAGTATTGAAAGCTTGTACTGCGTCATCGAATCTGTTCAAGGCTGCAAATGCCTCACCTAACTGAAAAAAGGATTCACCACAAGTTTCATTAATTTTACAACTTCGCTTGGCATCAGTGTAACCCAATTTCAATTCATTAAGAGCGAGGTAAACTTGAGATCGAAAGTTCAATGCAATATAATCTCTGGGAAAGGTATCTAAAGCTTTATTTAAAATATCAAGGGCTTCTGAATACTTTAATTCGGCAATTAAGTCTTTTGCTTTGATTTTCATGTTGGTGATTTCATAATGTTTTGGATACCACCGTTCGATGAGGCCAGCCAGGGTAGTATTCATAATATACTGTCTGCCATTTGATACTCCACATTTTGTACAGAACTGGTCTTTTTCGAAACAAATTTTGCAAATTGTATGTCCACAGGAAAGTGTGTATGGGTTACATAACAACCACCCACATTTACACGTAAAGAACTCCATCCAAGAATATTGAGGAAGAGCCACAGGTTTCTTTTTAGGCCAGCTTGGCCAAGCGGACAGTATTTGATTGATTAAAATCCTTTTAGCGATTTTGTCTTTATTCTCTTTCCAATACTGCTTTGACCATTCATATATCAGACAATTTGCAGAACGAAGACTTCGAAGCTCTGTATAATAAACCATTTGCGGGCCAGCAAATACTCCCCAACATTGACGCGTCGATCGACAAAGTCCGCAGAAAAATGCAGGCTGGGTGCATAAATAACTCCGTAATCTTAACTGAATCCTTTTCGAAGAGATGGAGGGTAAATCATTTGTTTCCAAACAACGGACTAAGTATCTGGTGATGTTGCAATTTCTCAGTAGTTCGACTATAAACTGTATATTCTTGAAATAGTGTTATAAACCCCATTACATAAGATTGACCGATAGAAAGGGGATTCCACAAAAAGTAAAGTTATATAAGTTATATAATGCAAGGGGATTCCAGGGGATACCGTGGTGAAAACTGCTGTGCGAAGTGAATTGTGGGCCTGCAGGTTTGGATGATTCAGACCCGGTATCTTGAGAGTAGACCCGGCCAAGGGTACGGAACAGTGGCGCGTGGTGGCAGGAGAGCCATGGTCCCCCTGAATATGGGTGCAAATAGAAATAAGGGGACCCAAAAAAATTTTTCTTGTAATATTTGGCAAGGAACATCAAAGTTGATCGTACACGGGTAGAATACTTCACTATAAATTGCTGCGTTGCCATACCTTCCAACCTGTAGAGAAGGAAAAGCGGGAGACATCGCGAGTGGAGCGAGCGAAAAATTAGAGCTGGGGGTCTGGGGAGCGCACTGAGCTCCCCAGCGCGTCCAGGGCAGCGCCCTGGTAGGGGTCCAGGGGGCAAAGCCCCTGGAAGCTCCTGACATTTTGTCATTTCTGAGGCCTCAAAATGGCTCAGGATTCTTTAGTTTCTCTGTCTGTAATATGTTAATAGAAAAACCAGCTTTTTTAATATGTTTATACCAGCTTTTTATTTTTATTATAAGTTTTTTTTCAAAAATCGGGAGGATTTTTTAATTGTCGGGAGGTCGGGAGATGACCTCTGAAATCGGGAGTCTCCCGGTCATATCGGGAGGGTTGGAACATATGCGTTGCCCTGACCCAATCAACATTTGTGTCATATGTTTTCTTGTTAACTATGTATGCGGCTTCATGTTTGACACACCAACTAACGAAGATTTTACGTATGCCAAAAATGTTTTCTTTCAGTTTGCACTTGGAACTCCAAAAAACCTGATAGTACGCCGAAGATCTTCGGGCCTAAGTACATGGTATGCACCCTGGCAATCAATACAGTACCCTGGGTACCGTATAAAAATTGATAGCCACAAAAATTTAACGCGGCTCTGGTACCCAGGGTATCAATACAGCAGCTTCTTGTTATTAACATCGATATGCACTCCGAACCAAAGGTCACCCTTTCTTTCTTTCCCCAACGCATGAATCCTCCCCTCCCAAATCACTGGTTTTCTTTTCTGAGCATCGTCGAATCGAACTGTCTATTCTGAGCGGTTCAGTTCAGTCCAGTTCAGTTTTTATTTTAAAATTCCACTACATACAAGCGTTATAGTAATTTGGTAAATTTTAATCTGGGAGATGCATTTTTAGCCATTCTAGGAGGAAACATTTTCTTGCACGTCGGACCCAACCATGGCGGGTCCTTCTATGTCACTAAACTTTCGTGACGCCGCCTCTGTCCGATTCAATGGTGGGATTGAAAAAACTACTTTTTAATATTACTAAAGAATAACAAACTTGAGCCATGGTTGTATATCATACATCATAAATATGATGACACTAGGCTGATAAAATCGCCCATAAGCAGTGGCGAAATGGACTAAGGTTACCTTTAGTTAAAAAACTAAGGAGCCCGAAACAAAAATTTGCTCTATGTTATTTTACTCTGAAGCTGGTATTCTGAATATTTAAACGAATTCAAGGGGCCGCTAGCCTGTATGAAACATCAGTGTAATTGAATAAAATGTCTTTTGATTTGTATTTTATGTTTTGCCTACCGTATTTCCTCGAAAACAGGAAATTTTGGATTCAAGTAGCAAAAATCGATTTCCCTTCTAGAATCACATGCTTTTATATAACCACGATATATAGACAGGGCGCAAAAATCTACTTGGCCACCCCAGAAAAAACAGCCACCCCGCCACTGATCCCATTAGATCTGACCGGACTCTGTGTCAGCAGCGGTTATAGGGACTGCGGGGCCTGGGACCAAAAACATCTGCGCGGCCCTTGTTCTCTACAATTTTTATCTTTTTTGTTAGGTGTTAGGTCCCTTTTGGCTACTATAAGCGCGGGGCCTGGGGCCCCTCTTAAAACCGCCACTGCTCAGTGTCAAAGGCTCGATCTGGTTTTAACATTTCATAAGAATCGAAGCAACAGTACGTACTTGTCTATGGACCCCGTTCGCACTACAGAGTCAAAACCTTACAAAGTTAATCCCTATTGTTTTATCTTCAAAGGCGGTATTAAATATTCAGGAAACTGTATAATTGGTACAGTGCGAACGGACTTTCGATTCTGTGCTTTTGTACTCAACACTCCGCTCAAACGTAACTTATACACTCTTCTCCCCAGGGCCTCGGAGAGGATTTCTGGGCCCCGTGTCAAAACGAAATAAGAAAGCAAGGCACACCGGAGGCGAGCCTTTTAAGAGGTCCGGGGAAATTTTTTGAGATGATGGTTGCTAAAATTGCGGCTATTTTGGTTGCTGAAATTGCGATGGCGGCTATCACTTCTCTAATCTCTAGTCTTTTCAATATAGTTTAAGCATGACTGGTATACTATCGTCAAAATGCATGCATATTTCTTAATTATAAAATATGCAATTCTTTACATTTAAAAATCTTAGGAAGTGAAAAACGTTGAAATACTAAATTTGATCAAAACGGATATGCTGCACCAAATAGATTTTCACTATTCAAATAATTTGAAAAACTTTACACCTAGCAATCAGAACGCAACCTTTCAATGTCAATAAAAAACTAGTTAATTCGATCTTGGAAGGAGCTCGTTTAGACGAGGGGCTAGATGTTCCGAAAAATTGAAGACCAAGGGAAATCAGTCAAGTATCTCGAAGTGAAAACCAGGTAAAAGCCTTTGGTAAAATTCAAGATAATGTCGGCATTGTTATTATTGATAGTGTTACAGCAAAGATAATTAGGCGATTCACGTCAATTGGCGAGATATGGGAGGGGTTCAGAATTCTTTGATTATACACAAGATTGAAGGAAGATGACCTAGCAAAAAAGAGCGAAATTCTGCGTAGCAAAAGAGGATGACATATCTCCTAACATCACTAAGGAGTCACTTTTTCTAAGAAGCATCAACCAATGCAGCTGTTGAACAAGCTTAAGCATCTGAGTTTAAAACACTTATTTCCAAGTGTTTTCATTGCATTAAGGTTGTTTATGACTTTGCCTGCTAGTGTTGCATCTGCCGAAATACCGTTAAAATTGTCCAAAGGAAATGAAATTTCCGAAAAAACTTTGCTATAGCTCCATAATTGACTCTTTTATCTATGGGCCCCTAAAGTCATGGGCCTCCCCGGGCAGTAGCCCCCCTGACCCCCCTCTCCTCAGCACTGCTTTTCAGCAAAAGCTTTTGATGCATAAAAGAGTCACTTCAAAGAAGATGTTTCATGAAGTTGTGCAACTGTTGTCGAGTGGAAAAAATCATCTGCTAGAACGACTCATTAAAAGCATCCTCTACACAAAGGTTTGCTTTATATTTATGTCAAAGACAATGTACAAAACCTATTTGCAGATGTTCAGAAAGCTTTGATTGAGCAACTTTTAGACACCGGACACGAGCACAGTGCTTTCATAGCACTGAAAGCGCAGTTCACCTGTCGGCAGATTTAGCTCTTTTATGGATTGAAAGATCATCTTGGCTATGCCATTTTTCTCTGCCAGCGCTGTGATCTTGGGAAGATGCTTATCTCATGAATAGATGAACCTCATTACGTCACTTGCTGCATGAAGGCAGTTTCAAAATCATAGAACCACGTCACAAAGAATACTTTGCCAAAATATCACCCTCCTCCAATATTTCTCATTGAATTAAGACGAAATACAAAATCGTTTTTGCGAAGAGTGGAGCATTCCCCCCTATTCGCTACATGAAGAGATGAAGTCTTCAAAATGCAAAATGATATTTAAATTATCTTGTGTCTTGGAATGTTTACGTATTTGTTATGAAATTCTTCTTGAGCATCATTTTGTCTTGATTTTGGAACGCTTCATTGTCAAAGGGCCTATTTGAACCCATATTCATACATCCCTCTTAAACTTATTGTTTTGGGAATATAGTGTACATTATTTCTCCTATAAACAGCCATAATGGTAAGCCAAGTATGTTAGTGGATATCTCTTGACCGGGAAATATCGCTCTTTTCTTGTTGAAATCCGTTTTGCAGAAATCAAGAACATCGAAGCATCATGAATCAAGAATATAATAGAAATTCAAAGTTTAGTCCAATTAGACAACTTTCTGATATACTCTAAATGAAAAGGGTTGGAGGATTTACAAAATTGTAGACAAAATCTCATGCCAGGGCTGATTGACAAAAAATACGATAAAGTTAATGCAGATTTCTACGAGAAGCACACTCAAGATGGTCACTACGGTGACGCGTAGGAGGTGTGACACCCTCCTTGGAAAACATTCCATTGCAAAATCGAGGAGTTTTTGTGCCGTGTAGGGCTGCTTTTTCGGCAAATTTACAGACATGTCGGCATATCAAGAGTGGCTTACCCACTTGGTCAGCAAATTTGACTTAACACCCACCTTGAGTACAACGTGGACACACTCTTGCCAGAAATGCACAAAAATTAAAGGACTTCTAGGGACAAGATAAGATAAAACTATAGGATACTCACCACAAGATGTTCGCTATTCTCATAGAGAGGTATGTATGTCCTTCAGTTTCAGGTGAAGAGAAGTTAGAAAAAGATGCCTTTATTGTGAGTTCAATCTCGGGAATGTTCTCATAACCAGGTAACTTGCAACTGCCTTGATTCATTGAGATTGCTATTTGCCTAGATATAACATTTGAACCTGGCAAAATGATCTGTTTATTTGACAACGTAAATGAAGGGAAAATTGCATTTTAATTTGACAAGGTAAGCCAAAAATATGTTTCTAATGAAAGCTGAAAATGTTTGATTTAAGAGAAAGATAGTGATTCATGTCAAGCGATTCATGTCCATAGAAAGTAGAATTCTAGAACTGTCCTTCTAAGTTTGTAAAGAAACTTCATGAAGTTCTAGGCAACGTTGCATAGTCTTTGACAGACAGATGTTCAGTGTGAAATTTGTGACTGTTACACGGTAAATGGTGTGGCTCATGGTAA